TTCCAGGAGCCTGTGAAGCAGACGTTTTGGTGACAACACTACACGGCTTGAAGAAAGGAAAAAAGGAATTCTGGTCATGGAAGTTAAAGGTTAGTTGTGTATCCTTTACAGGACTTGGCGGTTTTTCTAGGCAAATTTATGTCCAGTAGTTTGCCATTGCTTTCTGGACGGTCGGCTTTCTTGATACCACTGTTGAAACCAATGCAAGGCGCATGGCACCCAGCTGGGATCGAACCCAGCATCCTGGCATTACGAAGCGTTTGCATCGACTTGGCCACAGAGCCGACTCATGGAAGTACACACTTCATTTTTAGTAGCTCATGAAGTAAAATGTTGTTTACAACACGGCATAGCTTAAATTCGAGAGACTTGTGCAGTACTAGTTTTATTCAGGAAATTACAGAGCTTACCTTGGAAGTGGAAGAAGTAGAAAAACAGACCAGGTCACCATATTTCGCTAATGTACCGGACATTGCAGACTAAACTGAACAAACACATATAAAGTAGGTATCAGCCAAACAGCTCTCTGCTAGAGTCTTCATGTTAAACAGACTCCAGAATATGCTCCACAAGACTATTATCTCCTGGAGCAACTGCAAAACAACATGTGGTCAGGACTTCTGGCCTAAAATGGCGGAGGCATGGCAGAATGTTATGCTTCAGGGTTGTTTTTGCCTCCTACAGAGCTTTGCTTCTGCAGTTTCCACATGTGAACGATAGTATAGTTTTGCTGCCTGAGCTACTGAGTTTAGTGCTTGGTGCAGCCATGCGAGCTGATTTTAACCCGTGCAGCGGTTGTGTTGTGATGTTCAATATGGCTGGTAGCTGGTTTACGTGTGAGCTGGTGGAATACTTTATGTAGTAATTCTACGTGTGAATGGCCAACTTCTTGTGCCCGACTACTTCCATCAACGATGGACTGCATTTCTGGTAAATAATGTTGGCTTTCACACCTCTGGTAACTAAAATGTGCATCTGCTGTGAGGATATATTTCTGGATTGAACTGGGGCTAATTGTTCACCACTTTTCAAATGCGACAGTGGGGGACATTTCATTTGATTTTTTGCTGGCACAGAAATAGAGTAAGAATGGGGAAACCTGATTGGGGTGAAGTTGAAACCTCGACTAAGACTAAGACTAACATGTGGTCAAACCCAGTAGACCCGATAACTAAGCTTTGGGAAAACCCAAGTGACCTTGAGCTGACATCCCATAATGGATTTAGTGCATGACAAGAGATCACAGAAGAAAAAAGAGTTGGAAGATTTTCTTTGAAGAGTTTTATGATGGATGTAGTTATTCAGTAGCAAGTAGACAGGCTGAGGTAGCAAACTGTCAAGGGGTCAAACATATATATTTAACCATTCAAATAATATTCATATACCTCTCACTACGCTCTATTTCACTCTGTAATTACAAATGCATAGGTCATAAGATGAATGTTTAACCATTCAATTAATATTCATAAACCTCTCACCATGCTCTCTTTCACTGTGTAATTACAAATGCATAGGTCCTAGGACGAATGTTTAACCATTCAAAAAATATTCATAAACCTCTCACTACGCTCTATTTCACTCTGTAATTACAAATGCATAGGTCATAAAACGAATGTTTAACCATTCAAATAATATTCATAAATCTCTCACCATGCTCTCTTTTACTGTGTAATTACAAATGCATAGGTCCTAGGACGAATGTTTAACCATTCAAATAATATTCATAAACCTCTCACCACGCTCTCTTTCACTCTGTAATTACAAATGTATAGGTCATAAGACGAATAACACTTGCAGAATTACTTTAGTCAAAAATCTGTCTGTATTTATCAAATAGTAAACTAAGCTTTCCAAGTATTTCTTTGAACACTGTATGGTTTTCACTGCATCATCATGTAGCAGGTCCTTTGCAGAATGCCGCTCTCATCACGGTCTGCCTAAAAGAAAACTTTGTCTCTCGTCAGCTCTCCTGCCTTGTGTACTTTCATATTCAAGGAGACACTTATATCCTGTGCCCATCTTCACATAATTCAGAAAACATTAACTCTATCCGGCTAAACTGATGCCTCCGGGGATATACTTAAACTGATGCCTCCAGGGATATACTTAAACTGATGCCTCCAGGGATATTCTTAAACTGATGTCTCCAGGGATATACTTAAACTGATGTCTCCAGGGATATACTTAAACTGATGTCTCCAGGGATATTCTCAAACTGATGCCTCCAGGGATATACTTAAACTGATGTCTCCAGGGATATACTTGATGTGAACATAACATCATCCTCAAATGAAACTGTCGTTAAGCTCATTTCCTGAAAAGTGTAGGATATAAAAATTATGTTAGAAATTTGTTACCAGTATTATAACAAATATAAAGCAGTAAAAAAAAAATCAACTGCAATCTGAGACAATATTTTGCAAATTAAAACAACTGAGTTTAATGCTTTAGTAATATTTTAGTTCTTTCAGATCAAGGCAGCTGTTATCTAACACTGTCTTTCTCAGTGTTTATATCTCTGGTTACTTCTGCTAACAATATCACGCATAGACAGAAACAAATGAATGGGGTCCTCCATCAAGAAACAGGTGAAAATTGTAAACTGACATACAATTAAGACTTAGTGACGACTGGTAATATTGGTGGGAAAAGTGCAAAGGGATAAAAAATTGGATGGCTTAATTACATGGCATGGGGAAGAAAAGAGCTGATTACTGTTTTGAGAATGGAATCACAGAATCGCCGTCTCCCATATCAAATGTCTGAAGGTGAGGTAGTCTTTCAAGCGGGAGTGGAGAAGACAGAATGGAGATTACAGACCAGAAAGTGACAGCATAAACAAACTCAACAGGAAAGAACAACATCAATTGTTAGGTTTCGGACAGGACACTGTGGTCTTCGAGCACACCTGCACAGGACAGGCATAAGAGAATCTGCTGCCTGTGATTGTAGAGCAGAAAAACAGCAACTTCTCCCAGCAAAGTGTGGATCTGCAAGAGAAGCTATAGGGGGCAGGTGGCGGGTCACCTGCATGATAGGCAGAATAGTTAACAACTACACTACCAAACACTCAAGCAAATAGTGGAAATTTTTTTTTTTCCAGTGGAAGGTCCCGGTTAATCGTCCGCTTGGACTTTTGGCCTTCACCTGGACCTGATTTTTGCGTGTACAACCGTTTTTTATTTCCCTGCCTCTTGGGCAGCTGTACGCCGACTTCGAAGGAAGACGTCAGGCCTATTTCTAGGGTGACTGTGGCCATTGTTTTGTGTGGTGTCCGCCTTGTCTCCTTTGCCGCAGGTATTGCCCCCGGAGTACCCCTTTGGGGCAACCCCCTGTGGAACAGTTGGCCCTCAAGGGAAGGCAGGGGCAGATCATGGGCATTCCCCGCCATCCAAGGAGGCTTCCATGCATGCAGAGCCGGCACATGTCGCTCTGGTTCTGGGCTCACCCAAGGAATCGTCACGTCCTGCACATGCCTGCTTAACCTCACAACCGTATCAGGCCTCCCGCTCGACAGGGGCTGCGCCCTCTGGAAGTCAGCGGGGAGCAGCCCGTTGGTTTTGGACTTTTGTGACCACACAGATAGGTACATTTGCCCGGCAGAATTTCACATCCTGAATCGGGCATATCGTTATCAGTTTTGTCACAACACTCGGGCGAGTGGGGTCTTTGGGTGTGGACATTCGGCCTTTTGCATTTCAGTGCAAATTTTGTTGGTCAGATTTTGATCCGTATGATCTAGTTTTGTCGGACATTTAGGCTTAGCCATCCGATGGATGGTTGCTGTTGTGGTGTACCACAGCGCGGTGACGACGACACTGAGGGTTAACCGAGGATGTACGTGACTGGCCAGCCTATGGATGGTTGCTGTTGTGGTGCACCTCAGCGCGGTGACGACGACACTGAGGGCCAACCGAGGATGCACAAGAATGGCCAGCCCATGTATGGTTTCTGTTGTGGTGCCCCTCAGCGCGGTGACGACGACACTGAGAATTAACCGAGGATGAGCATTGAGCAATGATCTCTTTACTCAGCAGTCTTTTAACCAAGGGTTGTGATTTTAGCTGTACTTTTGTCGAACCTACTCATGTTCCTAATGAGTTTTGATAACATTTTTCACCCAAGCGTTTGGGGGCGGGCTGATGAGAGCCACAAGGACTCATCACCTCTGGGGGCCGCCAAACTCCGAGATCCCCTGACAGCTCTGTTAATGCTCATTTGAGACATTATCCGTGGCGCACGACGAGGACGTGCTGTAGGGGTCTTGCGTGAGGTTCCCTACAACCAGGATAGTAAAGGACTGGCGCCCGAGTGAATATCTCCTTATACACATCATGTTGGACTTAACTTCCCCTCACGCCTGTGACATAAATCACCGCGCCACAATAGTGGAAATGAAATTATATAATAATGCAAAGTTCAATAAGAGCTCAGCAGTCAAATTTGGCCGATCACATAAAAACAAATACAGACCGGCAACGATACAAATAATGATTTGGCCGTTGCTGGAGCTACGTCATTCGTGGTTTGTGCGATTTTCTGACAAAAAATCACGCTTAGAGTAGTTTCAGAGTTTTTAGCTTAGCCTACATCATCGGAAAATTAACATTTTTATTAATATAGATAATAAAGCATAAAAAAACTCAACGGAATACAAAATGGTCTCTTGCGACCCATTGTTATCAAACTACCTGGAGTTCATGATAATCCCATGACTTACGAGGGTAACTTCAAATCAACAATCAATTCTTTCTGCCTACATAAGAAAGGATTACATATTTTTAAATAAAGCTTTTAGCCAGTCTTAAAATTTGCCTGTTAGGTGTGTGGTAAAGCATACAAAAAGCATTCTCATAACATGGTTAAAGATTCGTGACTTTGTTTTTCTGATGTCTATGATGTGTTATCTTTTCCTCTTGATTTCAGCGAGTTTTAAATTGATACTTAAATGTTTCAAGCCTTACCCTGGTCATCTGAGATCCCTGGTCATCACAGTAGACATTGGAGTATGAACTGCTGCTGTATGCCTTATTCACATAAGCCAGACGTCTTTTGTCTCCATTAGGGTCAAGGACAAAATCTTTCACATAGTCAACCTTCCGTCTGTGTTTCACTAAGGCCGGTCCCCAGTACTTATTAGGGATGATCTGGAACTTCAATTTCTGTATTGAGGAGAAGGTTTTAAAATAGCATAAGAGAAATATAACATATAGATAAAATGTGAGAACAATATGTACAGATAAGTCGCAAGAGGGTTAAATAAACTGTTTCTGTTCTTTTTAGGATGAGTTTATTTATGGGGTTTGGACAGCAATAAATTTAAGCTGAACTTTTTTACTGCAACATGACAAAGCTAAAACCTTTCTGAAGAAAAGTACTGTCTGTATAGAGACAGATATAAAATTAAAGAGAAATTAATGCAGAATAAATCTAAACTATTCAAGTACTAGCATTACAAAACATTCAAGGATGTTAAACACATATTAAGATTATTTACACGTGAACTGTTGTGCTTACCTTATATTTTACTTGTTCAAAAACATTGCTATTCATTTCTAAGAATTCACATGCCTTCTTTATTCTATTATGCATCAGCTAATCTTTATTTGAAACAATTAATTTAAATACTTATGATTTTATTACCACTTTTGTATTGCTTGTCAAATTTCACAATAACTGAAATCAGAAAAATAGCTGATCAAAATGGAGATGCATCAGATTGAAGAATTTTTTAACTTCATCCTAACCTATATTATGGCCAATAGGTTTGTCACTTGCATTATCAGCCATAACACTAGTACTACTGTCACTATCTGGCTGAGATGTATCAACGACAGAGCAGTAAGAACAGTTCTAGACCTTTTCCCCATCATTTGGTCTGGAAAAATCCCATAAAAATTTTATCACTCTCAATAAATTTCAAACAGATCAGAAACTAATCCTGTGACCATGTCAAACTTCAAAATTGAAAAGACTTAATTTGCTAATTATAGTTTTTCAAAACATGTTCATACAAATTCATTTCCCCAGCAAATGAAACAATATTAGAGTGCCTCTATGAAGAGCCATTATAGAGGTAAATGGTCTGAATGAGATGGATTCAAAAGCCACTAAAATGGCGACCAGTCCGCAAACAGTTAATCAGTAGTTAACAAATTAACACAAGCTATGCAACCAGTAAACGACAGGAAGCTACATCTCCTCTCTGTGACACTTTATAGCACAAGCAGAAGGACAAAAGAAGAAGAATGAATAATACATTAAAAAATCTAAACATTTAAAGCTTAAATAATGTGAGAGGTTAATTCAGAAATTTATCAGTTTCAAATTGACTGTTAAAGAAAAAGGGGTAATAATTTGAATGACTTTAAACAATATACTGAAGCTACAAGTACTAATATAGGAGATATTTAAAACTTTTAACCAGGACAAAACAAAACAAAAATTTTAGCACAGTTATGCAGTTATAAATGTAAAAAATCCTGGCTCCAAATACAAGTGTCCTTGAGTTTGTACGACAGAGATAATAAAAAAAAAAAAACAAGGACACATAAATAAAACAAACATTGAATGAATTATTAAAATAATACCATTTTAACATGAAATAAAAAAAAAAAACTTTATAATTGAGTTGAAATACAAAAACAACATAAATAATAGGTACTTTTACCATTTAAATATTTTATTGTAAAAAATAATTAGATGTTTCTCTGTGTAGAGAATATTTATCAAAGAATTTGTAAGAGAGAAAATGGAGACAAGAAATTATTTGAATTTATTACTTGAAGATTTGAAACAACAGTCTTCATCAATGATCAAGGAAGGACCCAAAAAAAAAAAAATGGAAAATCAAGCAATGACAACAGCGAAGCACTGCATGAAAAATATAACAAACAACATACCTCTATAAATGTCTTCCCCTCATCTTCTTGAACGAGCTTGTAAACTGCACAAAAAGGGATCCAGATCAGTGAGGCTAGCACCATGAGCCAACCAAGAGCTTCCCCTCCAGCTGGGTATGTGTAGGTCCCAAAAGTAGTGGGGCTGTAGTCAGCACAAGCAAACACCAGGATGAACTGAAAACAGGCACGCAATAAAGACAATAAAAATGGGGCTGGTTGATTTATACTCGTACAGGGAAAGGGGGGGGGGGGGGGGGGAACGCAAGGGGGGTGGTAAATGTGGTGGTACATCAGACTAAAATCTGTAAATTCGAACAAAGAAGACACAAACAATAGATTGCACAATTTATTGCCTGGCATTTTTCACTGTATCTCGTCAGGTGTATACTACAGTAACAATTACATAAATAAAGCAAATAAGTGAATCCTTTATAACTGAAGTACAATTTCAACAACGATCAAACATGACTGCCTGTTTTTACCAGGGCAGCTGTAAAGACAGAACCATCTCTTTCTGAATACAGAGTTCCGGGCGCAGGTGACGAATCGTGGAAGCTTCGAGAAATCTTAGCGTTCTGCCATTGGTTGACATACGAAGGATTTGAAATGCGTTGCATTTAGTCATCATGTGTCCAGATTTTAGAAGATGGAGTGCTATTGCAGAGAAGTGATTTTTGCGGCCAGTATTCTCATTTTGAATATTAATAATATTGAATTTTCAAATTGATGTCATCACTTCTGTCTTCTATGAATATCAACTTATTAAATAGGGAATACATACTTATTAAATATTAATTTACCGAATAATAAATGCAAACTTATTTGCTCACAGAACACTGGTAATCTAGTTAATCTTGCAGTTTATGTAGATTAAAATACTGGGATTTAAAAGTAGCAGAACGTCAAATTTTTTTGCTTCTTTTTAAGAATGTACATGTTTCTTACATCTAGACTGGGTTGGAAAACATCCATATACTGTTTATAATATGCCAAATTCATCCAAGTTCAAATGTAGCAGTTTTCACCTAGGTGCTATTTCAGGGCTGCTATTTGTCACCGTGTCGGCTCTGTGACCAAGTCGATGCGAACGCTTCGTAATGCAGGGATGCCGGGTTCGATCCCAGCTGCGGACCATGCGCCTTGCATTGGTTTCGACAGTGGTATCAAGAAAGCCGACCGTCCAGAAAGCAATGGCAAACTATTGGATGTAAATTTGCCTAGAAAAACCTCACAACAGACAGGTGATGTTGGGTTTGGTTCTGCAACATCTTGTAAAGGATACGAAACTAACCTTATCTGTCACCGTACAATATGCCACAGGTACATTTGTTAATACCTCCAACAAGTGCAAAATTAATTATTATTTTGCAATTTTTTTCCACCTAATGTTCAAACATGATTTCATCAAAACAAGGATTTCTGGTGCACTTCCAATATATAGCCTATAAATATTAAAGAAAAGACAGATTTCCAAATCAAGGCATTCTAAGAACACTAGAAATGACAAAACACTTGAGTGCATTGTTTTCACACACCAAAATTAGGGCGGGAGTAAGTGCCATCCAACAAAGCTTCCACCACAACCCAGGCCTTGACCCATACATCAAGGTCATGTCCTGAAGAAATCTGTTACACCCTGAAAAGTAATTTATGGAAAGATTAAAATAGTTGTCAGTAATGTACAAATGAGTGGCATGGCTAAACATAATCTGCTGCAGGAATTATTGCCTTCAATTTGAGGATCATAGAATTGTTAAACACAAAAACTAACCTCTAAGCTAATATACTTCATGAGTGACAGTTCAGGTTCTTCTGTTATTTGTTATCTTCTTCTTCTTCTTGTTCACCGGCTGTGAATTCCGGCGGTAAGTCACGGTTGTTCGTCCAAAATGGACTTTTGGCTTTTACCTTGACCTGAGTTTTGCGTGTACATCCGTTTTACTGGCTTATTTGTTTGCAGTACTCGTTCCCCGCCTCTCAGGCAGATGTACTCCGACTTCGGAGGAAGACGTCAAGCCTATTTCTAGGTTGACTGTGGCCATTGTTTTGTGTGGGTCGAGATGTTGCCTTATTTGTGTGGTGTCCTCTTTGACTTTTAACAAGTGTGGCCCCCGGCATGTCGTCCTTAAGGCAGCTCTATGTAGAGTTTTCAGCCCTCAAGGGAAGGCAGGGGCAGATCATGGGCATTCCCCGCCATCCAAGGAGGCTTCCATAAATGCAGAGCCGACACATGATGCTCTGGTTCTGGGCTCACCCAAGGAATCGTCACGTCCTGCCCATGACTGCTTAACCTCACAACCGTGTATTGAGCTTCCCGCGCTACAAGGCTGCGCTCTCCGGAGATCAGCGGGGAGCAGCCCGCAGGTCTAGGACGTTTGTGGCCACACAAATAGGTACATTCTTTTTCATCTCACGTTAGACACCTTTAACGTTGTTTCAGCTGTGCCCTTAGCACGACAGAATGGGGAAGCAAAATGCGTCAGGCGTGGCTTCACCTGTTTGGTCCCAACACTCGGGCGAGTTGGACCAGTGGATACGGACATTCAGACGTTTCCTAATCAGTACGAGTTATGATCGTCGAACTTTGAGCTTGCATGTGTGCCGTTGGGTGTAACTTTGTCGGACATTGTTTTCAAGCCAGCATATGAATAGTTGCTGCCATGGTGTACCTCAGCGCGGTGACGACGACACTGAGGATTGACAGAGGATGTACGTAGGTGGGATCTTGCTGCGAGAAGTCGGAATATCTCCTTATACACATCACATCAGACTTAACTTCCCCTCATGCCTGTTACCGAAATCACCGCGCCACTGTTATTTGTTATGACTTGTGTTATTCTTTAAGGCAGAAATATCATAACATATATGATTAAATTGCAACATTTTTGTTTTTCTTCGCCATACTAATCTACAAAAGCTATGTATATGTTATTACCATAAAGATAAGATAACAGTACAATGATGAATATCTGATGCTGATACAATTGTGTGACTTGAGAGTAAAGCATGGTAAAGAAACTATATGCAGCCTTTGAGGCCTCATGGGAACAATCAGTAGAGGTACCTTGCAGTAGTAAATGAGGAATGAGCACGTAAAGGAATGCCTAATGTGTAGTGATGTTTAATTGTGATAACATAACATAAGAGAACAGTATAGTATCCCCCCGTGTGGGTTCCGGAGCCCCATTGTGGGGAAAACAAGAATAGACCCACTGCCTCCCCAAAAGCATGTCGTAAGAGTCGACTAATTGGGGAGCTTTCTTTGAAGTCGGAGTGCATCTGCCGGAGAGGCAAGGAACCAACAGTCTGTATTCAAGAGAATGAGATCTGTAAAACTGTTGCACATGCAACACTCAGGTTCTGGAGCAGGATTGCAGTTCAGTAGTGGACGAGCAACCAGAACCTTCTGCCAGAGTTTACAGCTGGTGAACGCGAAGAAGAAGAAGTATAGTATCATAAGTACACCATTTTTATAAAAACTTCTAGATCTGTGACTGTTACATCTGTACTTGAGAGTAAGAGAGAGAGAGAGAAAGAGAGAGAGAGGGAGGGAGAGAGAGAGGGAGGGAGAGAGAGATGCATGTACACACACACACACACACACGCGCGCGCACACACACACACACACACACACACACACACACAACCTTTTGGCTATGCCATCTCATATTCATGCTCAAGAATGAAGTCATTAAAAGTAATCAGTCAAACAACCTTCGCCCTCATGTAGGTAAATTGGCCCAATCATTCAAGTAGGCATGTATGGTGACCCTAACTTTGAAAAATAAAATTATGGTAAATCAGAAAGTATAAAACGTAAAAAAAGAAATATATTCAATTTTAAGTACATGTAATGTTTTGATCAGCAAAACAAGAGTAGCTTCCCTTTCCATTTATGCCTCATCAGGTCACATGGCCTCTTCTATGGTGTGGGGGTGCCATGTATTCCTTATTGTCAACTCTTTAACCGTTCTCTCAGTTCTTGTGTTATAACTGCTAATTTGCGCGATTATTTTCACATTCTGCTACTTGCGCGGTAGTTGGGTAGTACAGAAACTGTGATGTTTTTATATACACTGATAAAACAGGAGAACAGCATTACTAGAATGTCTTTGCATTGGAACCCACAGGGGCATAGGAATAAAGGAAGGTCAAAAAACACATGGAGAAGAGAGCTGGAGAACGAGGTTAGAAGGACTGGGAGGACATGGGGAGAGCTCCATGCAATGGCGAAGGATAGAACGACTTGGCGTGAGTTGGTTGAGGGCCTATGCTCCATCGGGGGATAGAAAGGCAGAAGAAGAAGACATTCCATGTCAGTGGCTTCTTTTTCGGGGGTGGGGGGGGGGGCACTGCCAATGAACACAGAAATAATAAAACATCCCAGTTTCGATACTCATAAACTGTCAGGCCTGCGGCGCTTCACCCTGCAGAACTCAAAGAGACTCACGACAACCCAACTTCCCACAAACATTATATACCGCGAACAAAGCCATATCCTAACACCCCCACAACATAGGAGAGGCCTTGTAACCCCTACCTCCTTACCTGAAGAAACCGATCATCTTATTATAGTCTACATGTGGGTTTCATTGCTTCATTATGGGGAAATATTATTACATCGACTTCCTCCATCCTTCCCCCAATCAATTATAATATAAAAGGGGACTAAAAAGGAGTGTTTCATTCAAAGTTAGAGTGCATCAGTCTGAGAACTGAGGAACTACTAATGTGCATCAGTCTGAGAACTGAGGAACCACTAGTGTGCATCAGTCTGAGAACTGAGGAACCACTAGTGTGCATCTGTCTGAGAACTGAGGAACCACTAGAGTGCATCTGTCTGAAAACTGAGGAACTACTAGTGTGCATCAGTCTGAGAACTGAGGAACCACTAGTGTGCATCTGTCTGAGAACTGATGAACCACTAGTGTGCATCAGTCTGAGAACTGAGGAACTACTAGTGTGCATCTGTCTGAGAACTGAGGAACCGCTAGTGTGCATCTGTCTGAGAACTGAGGAACCGCTAGTGTGCATCAGTCTGAGAACTGAGGAACTACTAGTGTGCATCTGTCTGAGAACTGAGGAACCGCTAGTGTGCATCAGTCTGAGAACTGAGGAACCGCTAGTGTGCATCAGTCTGAGAACTGAGGAACCACTAGTGTGCATCTGTCTGAGAACTGAGGAACTACTAGTGTGCATCTGTCTGAGAACTGAGGAACCGCTAGTGTGCATCTGTCTGAGAACTGAGGAACTGCTAGTGTGCATCAGTCTGAGAACTCAGGAACTACTAGTGTGAATCTGTCTGAGAACTGAGGAACTACTAGTGTGCATCTGTCTGAGAACTGAGGAACTACTAGTGTGCATACAAATAAACCAGATCTGACAATGGATGTGCATGCAAAACTCAAGTTCTGGAACAAGACGAAAGTCTAGAAGTGGTCGAACAACCAGAAATATCCCTGCAGTTTACATCTGGTAAACACTAGGAGGAAAAAAAAAATCTTATTACAGAAACAAAGACTAAACAATTCTAGTAGATACAGAGTAACAAGGGGAGTCACTGTGGCGTAGCATCTAGATGCTCGTGTGTGAATTGGAAGGTTGTGGGTTTGCTCCCTGGCGGAGCGGGACTTTTTTAAAAAATGACCTTGACTCCTAGTTTGACCCAGCCCTGAGTGGGTACTGGGTGCAGTCCCGGGAAGTAAAGGCCGCTGGCATGATGCTGACCACATTACCCATCTTGTGCCGACTGGTCTATAAAAATATAGGTCTAGCCCTATATGCCCTAAAGGCGTGAAAAGGTTTACTGCTTAATTTATTTTTTTTCAACTCACTGAGCAACAGTTAGAGCAAATGAATGGTTTGCAATATGGCCACTGGCAGCAACTTCTGTTTTTACTATTTTTCCAAGCACTGTCACACTGAATTAAGTGAACTGTGTTTTGTATGATGGAAAAAGTTGTGCAAGTGGATAGTTGGCTCACTCGCACAGCAAAATGTTCAGTGGTGGGAATGGTGTGGATGCTACTAAAAACAAAGCACTTTCATAAGATAGGAAACAGAAAGTCGGAAACCTTTTTTCTTTACTTCCTGTGCTGTAGGTCCCGGATTCAGGCCACACTGAAGGCTAGGATTTTTAATCATGTGGACTTCTACTTATTTCCCCTGGTCTCTGATAATAAGACTGAACGCCCGTGTGAATTGTTGCGCACATAAAGATTCCCTAGGCAGTTGGAAATAGAAAAGAGTAGCCTAACGGCACTGCCCGGGCAACATTTAAAGTTAAAAATCTTTCTAAAGTATTACAGGATCCTCGCCGGTGCTGCAGAGTACGTGCACTATGCTGAGATTCTTTGGACTCAGGCTTGAGTTAGAAGTAAAACGGAGCCCTCATGGGTTACTATCCTTGTGCCATGATGTCGATCTGTTGTATAAACCATTCCTGTCTTCATTTTCTTATTCTTTACGTAATCCATACTATTTTGTTATATTTTAAAACAATTTACTCTCTTGACATAAATAAGCAACAACAAACTTATGAAATGGTAAAGCAAAAAACTTACCATAAACATAGGACAATGCAAGTGTTTCTGTAAGACCAATAACCAGCAGTGTCCATGTAGCTGCGTATGCATCCATCAGATTTAGAATATATGCTCCGCCCTAGAGTTGATGCATGAACAGCTTGTTACATTTTCTGAAAACTATGTCTCTCTCTCTTTCTCCATTTCTTTTCTTTTCCAGTGATGATTAACCGCATCCTCATTACGAGCAATGATAGCGTAGTGGTTAATGTGCTTGCTTACCGAGATAGTGGTGACGGGTTTAACCCTTTCGTCCTGGGCACCTTGAAAACAGTCGGCAACCGGGTCACCCACTGGCTCGCCAGTAGATGACTTAGCCTCCAGTCGGGACAGTATCTGGGACTGTCTCCTTTGATCGCATCAACACTTCAGGTGTCCTTTTCAGGCGCACAGTGTTAAAAGCTATCTTATGTGATCCACATAGCCTAGTCACAATTATAACCTAAAGCTCCCCCTCGGGGATGCTGGTTGAATGTGATGATTAATTTTCTTTTTCCAGCAAAGCACCAACCTATCTACCAAGAAAACATGACGACCTCATTGGAATTCAGAAAAAAAAATCTTTAAAAAATAAAGAGAACAATTTTACACAGGTCAGTAATGAATTCTTTAAAAATTAATTTACCCACATTGTTACTTGTTTACCTGAAATACATAAAGACACATGAAGGGAGTAATCAATAAACATGGAAAGGATAGAGCTTTAGATGAAATACATTATGTGGCCTAAAAACACATGTATCGAGTGATTCCTGTTTTGACCTCTACCAGTGAGGATTAGGGTAAAACTTGACATCAAACTGGCTTTAAAAAACAACTATCTGGCTCAAAGGAAAACCCCTTAAACACAATTTTTAGTTCTGTGTTCATTTTCTGACTACCTAAACATTTTCACAGGTGCAAAAACAGCTAATAGCATTAAATATGTATCTTCCCCGTGTGGGTTCCGGGGCCCTATTATAGGGGAAACAAGAATAGACCCCCTGCCTACCCAAAAGCATGTTGTAAAAGTCGACTAATTGGAAGGTTCCTTTGAAGTCAGAGTGCATCTGCCTGAGAGGCAAGGAACCAGCAGTCTGCATAAAAAAAGAGTCAGATCTGTAAAACGGATGCATATGCAACACTCAGGTTCTGGAATAGGACTATAGTCCGAAAGTGGATGAACAATCAGAACTTTATGCAGAGTTTACAGCTGGTGAACATGAAGAAGAAGAGGAAGAACTATGCATCTCATAAACAGGTCACTATAGACAAGTCAGAAAAGTGAGATTTTTTAAGGAATTTGATCCAACTAGCAGTACTGGTTTTGCAGTGTCTCAGGGCAAATGGTTCAATACCAGAACTCTCTATAACTGATTTGTTTAAGCGAAAAGTATCATGCCATTCACCCACTTCATTACGACATGATGTAACATATGTAAATGTCTAACAATTCACAACCAGCAGAAGTATTCTGCTATAGGATTCACAAAATTTAAAGAATATGGTATCCTCTGGCTGACCTTAGATACTGTGTTTCCCTCAAAATAGTACATAACATAAAAAAGAAGCCTTAGTTATTTTCTTTTTTAGGATGCTCATAACGTAAATCCGACTTCAGATAGAAGCCATTGTTAAGATCATCAGCTAGATGGATGGACATGAATCCATGAAACACACAACAGACATATTGAATTATGAAGCAATAAATGTATAAATTCTTGAATAAATATATATTTTGTACTTGAATGAAGGTATATTTTTGTACTTAAATAAATATTGTTTAATTTGAATAAATATAGATTTTTTTACACCTCAAAACACACCATCTTAAAAAAAGGCCCTGTGGTATCTTTTTTGAGCAAGATAGTATAAGACCCTGTCTTATTTTGGGAGAAACACAGTAGTTAGATTAGATAAGATAAGAAAAGTTTTTAACATTTAAATAATTAGTGATTTAAAGATGTGAAGACTGACTTAATTATATCCCAATTACAACCTTGAGAGCTGACAAGGATATTTTTTAAACTCTACTTTATTGCGCCATAATTTGAATTCAAATAAATCATCCCTGTCTGCAGTGTTTGGTGGCACATAAGTGCAGCACAAAGCCCAAACTCCATGTATTCATTCACTCACTCATTCATTCACTCATTCATTCATTCATTCATTCATTCACTCATTCACTCATTCATTCACTCACTCATTCATTCACTCATTCATTCATTCACTCACTCATTCATTCATTCATTAATTCACTCACTCATTCACTCATTCATTCATTCAATCACTCATTCATTCACTCATTTATTCTTTCTTTCATGCATTCATTCATTCACTCATTCATTCTTTCTTTAATGCATTTATTCATTCATTCTTTCATTCATTCATTCATTCACTCATTCATTCATTCACTATCCACTTAGGGCTTGTAGTCTATTCCTCCATGCGATCAGTTCAATATCATGGATGGAATCCATTCCAGCAGCTTTGGTCTCTCATCAACATTCGTTTGAGAGTTTCTTTTGGGCGTCCTCACCTCCTTAATCCCTTTATTTCCCATTTTAATGCTTGCTAGTTTCTTATCAGGATGTGTAGGGCTTTCTTCTCTGTCTTATAACTGTTTATACTAGTGGTTGCCCAGACATTTCTCTTATTTCTTAACTCTTTTTTGAATTAATCCCATTTTATTTTCATCATTTTTCACAGAAATTTGTTTTTGAATACATTTAACTTTTGCTCCATTTACCCATAATCCAGCAGCAACAGTCAAATCACAAGCTGCAGTGTCAACCAAAGGCTTATAATTTTACAAGGAATATTGTCAAAACTAATGTAGTTTCAAGTTCAACAGATGTTGGTAATAAAAATAAAAATATTATTATATAGTTCGGACTCATTTGAAGACATAACACTTATAAAAAAAAATCACTGGGGAGAAATCTGAAAGACAGTCAAGAAATGGGTAAACAGTGATATGAGACACATTTATTCTCCCATTTTCTTCTCAAACTTACATTTGTTGTAAGTGGAAGACCCAGCAAGAACATGGCAGCACACAAACATAAGGTCACCCATAGTTTTCTGGATCTGTAAGATGGCCACTGGTCCAAAATACCTGTTAATACTGTCTCAACCAATGTGAACTGTAAGGGTAAAGGAATATGTCACAAAACAGGTCAATGGGGAAAGGCTGGAGAAGCTTGTGAAAATGTCAAACTGAGCTTAACAAATAAAATTAACAGAATTAATAAAATGTCAAACTGAACTTAACAAATAAAATTTACTGAATTCATGAAATGTCAAACTGAACTTAACAAATAAAATTTACAGAATTCATGAAATGTCAAACTGAGCTTAACAAATAAAATTAACAGAATTCATGAAATGTCAAACTGAACTTAACAAATAAAATTAACAGAATTCATGAAATGTCAAACTGAGCTTAAAAAAAAAATTCCCTGAGAGTCAGGCTTGCCTGGCATTTGTTTACAGTGATGTGTTTACAAGACACCTAGTTAATGTCAGTTGTTGTTTTTGCACACAACACAGCATCTAGAAGGTCAGAATATAAATGTATTTATTCAAAATAACTGTTCGGAGGGTTGACTTTTGAACAAAATGGCTGTTGTGAAGCCATGCTGGTATCAAATTTTCCCACAGTCCCAGTAACAGAGGTTACTGGGTCACTACATGAGTAGCTCATTGTATAGTTTCTTTAGGCCCCATCATGTATTCTATTTATTGCTTCACTGTTGGTATTTACTGATTACTCCCTTTACATATCTTTATATATTTCGGGAAAAAAAATTTTAAATGCAGATAAATTTACACATAAAGTTTATTAGCGACCTATGTAGAAATTCATTTAAAAAAAAAGATTTGTGTGTATGTGTGTGTGTGTGTGGGGTTCACCATGGATTCATGACCTATTATTTTTGGCATTAGATGGATGAAAGGATTAGAAGGGCAATTAGCATGCTGTGTTGTGATCTTCTGCTAGGTTGCAGTATTTGCACTTTTGAGCCCAACAATGTAGATTTTAGCAAACCCTGAATTAGTCACCTTTTTAAACATGCTTGTTAAGAGACAGCGGGTTAATCCCTCCCCCCCCCCCCCTCCCACCACCATCCAAAACAGGGTCATGGAATTCCCACTGGGAAATGGTAATACTAGAAAAGGATAAGTAATGAAGAAAATATTCGTAATGCAGTGGATACCGTCTCATTGTGAAGTGCCTGGAAATGAGAAAGCTGATCAACTGGCAGGGGAAGGTGCGACAAAAGTGCAGCCGGATGTAACAGTCACATACCACCAAAAGAAAAGAATCATTAAATCGATCAGGAAACCACCAGCCCTAGCACAAGACGACTATTTTATAATGGACAGACCAGAAGAAGTCATAATCTTCCGCCTCAGAACAGGGCACAACCGATTACATAACCACAATTCAAAATAGGTGTATCAGCCATGTGCACCTGTGGAAAGGTGCCCCAGACAGCAGAGCATGTACTTCAGGACTGCACCGAATAAGGCAAACCTTTTGGCCAGAAAGAACAACAGTGGAATGTAAACTCTATGGACCACTGAATGAACTAACGACGATAGTGAAATTTATACAAGAGACAAAATTGCTGATATAAACAACTTATTTCAGGCGAACAAATAAGAAAATATAACTACTAATCCATTAACTACTAATCCATACCTGGCTATCTAATCCTACTAAAATCAACATGAAGAAAAATAGAAATGACCAAAACGGTGGTGCAGGAAGTTGCGTCACAGCTTCTGGATACACTATAAATGCCAAACCTGGACCTGTGAGTTAAAACAGAAAAAAAAAACAAGTTTATATGTTTTTCTTGATTCTTATCCTTTCTCTTTTTATTTAAAAGAGAACAACAATTAATCATGTGGTATCAAATGTCAATTGTCACCATTATTAAGACATCCAAGCATAACTATGAGTGCAAAGAGACAAATTAAAAACAGCATATTCATCGCAACATTAAGCCTTCAGTGCCAAACATGGATACTATCTAAAGCCCATATACGCAAAATCACCACCTGAGATGCCTGAGAAAAGCCGTCAACATAACCATCCGAGATCGAGTGAATAATGATACTATCAAACAACTTGTGAGAACGACACCTTGTACTAGATTCATTGAGAAACAGCAGATCAAGTGATTTGGCCATCTCGTTACAATTCATACTTATGTATAGACTTTTCTAGGTCACATAAATCTGATCCAGTCTGAATTAGAAGTACAGGATCACTTTGGCTTTGACTAACAGGTTATAAGTCAGACTGGTCATAAGTCCAATTATATTTTTCAACATTCTTTTCATTCAAACGGGTTATAAAAAAACTGTACAAAAAAAACCCCCACACAAATTCATTCTATGTACATATATTTATTGTACATAATGGGAAAACATATGGAACTTTTTGATGCTACCAATGTAGTTATCTTTCTTAATTTACTATTTTTATTTATTTATTTTTTGGGTGGTTCCAAGTGCAGTTAGTCGTAAGTTTAGAAGGTGTATAAATAAAATAAAAATATAAAATAAACGTGGTGGTTCACATTATGCTGACCACCTTTACTTTCCAGGACATTACCTGGTACTTATTTTAAGAATCAACATCGTAGCACACCCACTGATGCTCTGTCGTCTGCAGTTAATGTCTTTAGGTGCAGATGCTAACTGGGTCAACATGGCGGCCAAGGTCTATTGTGAAATAAATGTGAATTTGAACCCAGGACCTTTGGCCTAGCAGGAGAGAATCTCACCACTTTGCCACTGTGACTCCCACTTAGCAGTATGTTGAATGTTGAATTAAGAATCGACATTACAGCACTTGGGACACTCCCATAAGTGCTCCTTCTCCATCTACAGCAGCAAGCGAAGAGTTCAATTCCGATGACACCAGTAGTGACTCCTCGCAGCGCCATTCTCCTCAGACCTTAATGATCTATCTGGGCCTCAGCACTGTTCCCTTGTTTCCAAAGGGGCCTCACAATATCAAGCTTGTCATACATCAATTCACCAACAAGTGGTGCAGAACCGGCCCACTTAGTAGAATCAACTCAGGTTTTCTGCCAGTCATGTCTGGTCTTGTGCTGATTCGTTCTCCACTGTCTTGAAGAGCCTGTAGTGATGCAGACGTGCTGGCCCTGATTGGCTGCTCTGGGTTTTTACATGCTATTTACAGATAGGCAACTGGATATGATGTCTGACTGATTTGGTTCCTGTACTGTATCAATAAGATGACTGTGATAGCTGTCGTGCTGCTTAATTTCCATTTAAAATTGGCCGTTGTCTTATACATGGAATGTATTTAAATTTATATATATCCCCCCCCCCCCCCCATCCCCCCATGTGGTTTCCGGGGCCCTGTTATAGGGAAAAAAAAAAACCTGACCCACTGCCTGTACAAAAGCATGTTGTAAGAGTCGACTAATTGGGTGCTTTCTTCAAAGTTGGAGTGCATCTGCCTGAGAGGCAAGAAACCAGCAGTCTGCATACAAATGAGTCAGATCTGTAAAACAGATGCAGACGTAACACTCAGGTTCTGGGAAAGGACTGCAGTCTAAAGGTGGATGAACAACCAGAACTTTCCGCCAGAGTTTACAGCTGGTGAACACAAAGAAGAAGAATATATTTTTTTTTAAACACGGCGGCGTCTTACACATGGAATGAGTTAAAATATTTGTGTAAATACATGGGTGTGTTTTATACATGGAATGAAAGAAAAAAGTAAAGGATAATTTTCCATGCCTTTAGGCATATTGGGTGTATAGGGCTAGACCGATATTTTATTTACCAATCGGCATTTGGTGGGTGATGTCGTCAACATCACACCAGCGGCCATTAATTTCCAGGTCTCATACCTGGCACTCAATCAAGGTCGGGTTGACCTGAGAGCCAAAGTCATTTTTGAAAACTGTCCTGTTCCGTCAGGACTGAACCTATGACCTTCTGATCCGCAGATGAGCATTTAGCCACTAGATCACGGCGGCTCCCATACATGGAAGGTATGTAAATATTTTTGTTATACAGGGGGGCATCCTATACATGGAATGTATGTAAAATTTGTGTTATACATGGAAGCATCTTATTATATGTGGAGTGTATGTAAAATTTTTTTGTTATACATGGGGGCATCTTATACATGACAAAAATACAGTATGTTGAACTATTTTGTTAGCATGTCGCTCATTCATCCAGTTTCATCAAGGTTATTTTTAAAAATTCAGCTTTGCCTTTTCTAATCTTTGACTGTTTCCTCTCTACCCATAAGGCTGCAAATTCATATGCCTCTTTGTCTGATCCCTGGACTTTGGCTTATCTTACAAGATAGATGTGCTGTTACTGGCATAGATAGCTCTTGTGGTTACTAGAACACAACTTCAAGGTGAAAACAGATTCATCATCATCATGTCCCGTGCCGGCAAGTGTGGGCTGTCATGTTTGGCCATCTCACACCATCACCAGAATCATGGATAAGGTCATCCAAATATTTATCCCTTTGTCTTCCTCTCGCTCTCTTTATATCCACCTTGCTAGTATTTACCAAGTTCTCAAGTCTGTTCTTTCTCATAACAAGTTTAAAAAAACATTGACTTGCTTCATCTAATGGTTCTAATAAATTTACGACTATCATCCGTCTCAATAAGTACTGTTTAAAAAAATCATTCCATGGTATTTTCTTCATTCTTCGCAGAAACCACATTTCTGCCATGAGAAAATAGTTTGTAGCTATTTTGCTCACTGTCCATGTCTCTGGGATCTAAATCACCAAAGTAACAAATATAATAACACTCTGGTGATTATAGTTAACATATCTATCTCCCAGCATACAAAGATGTACAGACTAGACGGGAAGAGAAGAAGAGGCTCACCATGTAAATGTTAGACAGACGGAATAACACAGTCCCTGGGAATCCCAATTTATGAAGATATGAATTTGAGAACAGTTTAGTTCCGCCAGGACTGAACCCACGTTCTTCTGATCCACAGGCACTTTCTTGTGATTATAGCTAACATAACAAGTATGATAATAACACCCAGAAGACTATAGCTAACATAACAAGTATCATAACAGTGCTCTAGCCAACATAATAAGTATCACAATAACATGCTGGTTGTTATAGTTTACATGTAACAAGTATCCTAATAACATTCTGGTGATTAGTTTACATATTTTACATATCTATCTACTTATATCCTCTTTATGTTTGGCACTTTCCTGCAAATTATACTTCACAATGACGACTGCAAGGTACCAAAGGATCAAGATGATATAAGAACTATCTACAAATATCCTCTACAACCCCCCACCTTCACCCATTCCCATCTGCTGGTTTTCTGTCCATGGTATCTTATGCCAATTTACACTCCTTGATTTCCCTTTATATTGTCCTTCAGGAGATATATTAGGGGAGTATTTTAATATAACTTTGCCGAAGTTGGAAATAAAACAAATTATGTGCTCTTTCCGCACTGAAATCCCCAGTTATCTTTGGGAATATTAGGCAGCAAGGCCCCAATTTCTACCACAGTGCAACTCTCGTACAACAAAAAACCAACACAATGTTTATTTTAAAAAAAAAAAAAATTTGTTGGAAATCAAACCCTGGTGCTCAAGGATCACGAAATTGTTAAATACATTCACTAACATCTAAGCCGCAGAAAAGGAAATAATACATAACTAATTTTCTTTATAAGAGAGTGTGGTTCCCATGTTAATGTTAACTGTGTGAAACAAATACTAACCACTAGTGACAACATTGCGAATGTCTTCATGAAGGGAAGCTGCCATATGACCCAGGTAAGAGAAGATAACAAATCCAGCAAACAGACTAGTCAGACAGTTACCAATCCCAACTATCAAAGTGTCTCTGAAAATATATAACAGGTATCACCATTCAAGTAAACTTATAACAGGTTTAAAAACACTGGTAATTGTGTTTTTAACATACAAGTGGTGATTATAAGTTAGTGGTCCCTTTTCCACACCTTAAGGTGTATAGGGCATATAGGGCTAGATGTATTTTTTTTATAGACTAATCGGCACAAGATGGGTGATGTGGTCAGCATCACGCTGGCTGCCTTTACTTCCCAAGACGGCACCCGGTACCCACTCTAGGCTAGATGGACCTGGGAATCAAGGTCTTTAAAAAAAAAAAAAAAGTCCGGTTCTACCTTTCGATCTACAAGTTGTAATTATAGCTAACATTTAACAAATACCATAATTACACTCTGGTGTTTATAGCTAACATAAAGGAGATATTATAATGTTCTTGTGATTATAGCTAACATAAAGGAGATATTATAATGTTCTTGTGATTATAGCTAACATAAAGGAGATATTATAATGTTCTTGTGATTATAGCTAACATAAAGGAGATATTATAATGTTCTTGTGATTATAGCTAACATAAAGGAGATATTATAATGTTCTTGTGATTATAGCTAACATAAAAAGTACGATAATACCACTCAAAAGACTATAAATAACATAAAAAGTATCATAACAATACACTAGTATTATAGACAACATAATAAGTATCATAATAACATGCTGGTTGTTATAGTTTATATATGACAAGTATCCTAATAACATTCTAGTGATTATAGTTTACATATCTATTTACTTATATCATCTTTATGTTGCTGAAAACACATAAGGCATTCCCAAGTGATCACTATTGCTGACAGTCTGTAAACTCCAGTTAAAAATTCTTGTTGTTTGTCCACTTCTGGACTTAAGTCTTGTTCCAGAACTTGAGTTCTGCGTGCAGCACATCTGTTTTACACATCTGTTTTATGTGCATGCAGACTGTTCCTCACTCCTTAGATGCACTGTGACTTCATATTGAAAATCCCGAATCGGTCACCTTTTACAACATAAATGTGAGGGATGCTGTGGATTTATTCTGTTCTCCGCCCGAAATGGGGCTCTGGAACTCACACAGTCCATCAAGTGGGTCAATACCTATGACTACATAGCAGACAGGCAAGCCTGATAGCCACTGTGAAAGGGCAGCCCTCAAGTCACTAGAAGGGAAAAAAAAAGGCTAATTGAGGGTCTATTTTCCAATGGTCTTAGTCTTAGTCGAGGTTTCAGCTTCACTGCAGTCAGGTTTCCACATACTTGCTCTATACCTGTGCCAGTGCAAATCAAATAAAATGTCCCTCACTGTCGCATTTTAAAACCTGGTGAATAAACAATCACTCCCGGAACAATCCAGAAATATGTGCACGAAGTAAATGCTTATGGTAGTTCCTAATGGTGCCAAAGCCAACAGTCACCACCAGAAATGTAGTTTGCCGTTAATGAAAGTAGTCGGGCACAACAGGTTGGCTGTACAAGACACAGAACTACCACATAAGGTATTTCACCAGCTCTCACGTAACCGGCTACCGGCTTTATTGAATACCATGACACAACCCCTGCGCAAATGAAAGGCATCTACATGAAAAACACAGCTCACAGGGCTGCACCAAGCATGATACTCAGTAGCTCAGGCAGCAAAACCACAGACTACAGTCCATATGAGGAAACTGCATTAGCAAAGTGCTGTCAGAAGCAAAAATAACTTCAAAGCTTAACATTCTGCCAAGCCTAATCCTCCACTTTGACCAGAAGTATGTTTTTTCTAGTGGAGGCAGAACAAAGAAATGTTACCTTAAAGCATTGTGATGAAAGCGACTATAACTGGAAAGAGTGATAAGACCTCCATATGCTGGTCCCAGAGAGTAGAATATCTGGTTTGCTGCGTCTCGCCACAGCTGTAACACAAGATGATGATTGTCAGTGTGTGTGTATATGTGTAAGTATATGTGGTTGTGTATATATGTGTGTGTAAATGATTTAGCATGAGGAAGTGTTTGTGAGGTGAAAGTGATTTGACATATAGAAATGTGTGTGTGTAAGTCTTCTTCTTCTTCATGTTCACTGTCTGTAAACTCCGGCAGAAAGCTCTGGTTGTTTGTCCACTTCTGGACTTTAGTCTTGCTCCAGGACCCGAGTGTTGTGTGCACATCCGTTTAACTCAACTGTATGCAGACTGTTGGTTCCTTGCCTCTCAGGCTCATGTACTCTGACTTAAAGAAAGCCCCCAATTAGCCAACTCTAACGACATATTATCTTTTCTTGTTTTCCCCCACAATGGGGCCCCCAAACCCCCACAGACATGTGTGTAAGTGTGTATGTGTAAGTGTGTGTGTATAAGTGTGTGTGAGTACATAAGTGATGAATGTAACAAGTGTAATGATACACCTTCACAAAAAAGCACATATTTATATACTTAGAAAAAAAAATAGATAAAAGTATTTTTTTAGAAGCTAAGTCACAAATACTGCTTATAGACAAGCTGTTACAAATGCCTTCTTTACTGACAAGTAGCCTTCTATTTAAACAAGCTTAGTTATATATGTTAAATAGCAAGGTTACGTTTGTTACATTTGTCTCCTTAAATACATGATAATTGTAAATGGCTGCTTAGAGACAAGCACATTTATAAATGACTCCTTTATAGCTAAGCTGTTTCAAATGTTTTCCATATAGACCCGCTGTTACAAATGCCCCTCCCTCCTTTTCTCCATCAAACTGTTACTAATATTAACCTTATAGACAAGCTGTTACAAATGTCCCCCTTTTAGATATGCTGATACAAATATACTCCTGTTAGACACGCTAATATAAATGTCCCTATATTACCCTTATAGACAAACTATTACAAATGTCCCCCTTACAGACAAGCTCTTACAAATATTACCCTTATAGACAAGCTGTTACAAATGTCTCCTTATAGACAAGCTGTTACAAATATTACCCTTACAGACAAGCTGTTACAAATGTCCCCTTATAGACAAGCTGTTTCAAATGTCCCCTTATAGACAAGCTGTTACAAATTTCCTCTTTATAGAAAAGCTGTTACTAATGTTTTCAATATAGATACACTGGTACAACTGTTTTCCATATAGACACGCTGATATATATGCCCCCCCCCCCCTAAAAGCTGTTACAAATGTTTTTCTTATAGACAAGCTGATACAGATGTACCCCTTATAGACGTGCTAATATAAGTGCCCCCCTTAAAGACAAGACAAATATTGCACTATAGATAAGTAGTTACAAATATTACCCTTATAGACAAGCTGTTACAAATATTACCCTTATAGACAAGCTGTTACAAATGTCCCCATCATAGAAAAGCTGTTACAAAAATTAGTTCTATAGACATGTTAATAAAAATGTCCCTCTTAAAGATGAGTTGTTACAAATATTACTCCTAGAGACATGTTAATACAAATGTCCCCTGTAATAGACACATTATTACAAACTTCCCCCTTATAGACAAGCTGTTACACAAATCCCCTCTTATAGACAAGCTTTACAAATGTTTCCCTTATAGACAAGCTGTTAAATTGTCCCCCTTATAGACAAGCTGTTACAATGCTCCCCCTCATAGACAAGCTGTTACAGTTGTTCCCTTCATAGACACGCTGTTACAATTGTTCCCCTTACAGACACACTGTTACAATTGTTCCCCTTATAGACAGGCTGTTACAATTGTTCCCCTTATAGACACGCTGTTACAATTGTCCCCTTACAGACAATCTGATACAAATTTTCCTTTATAGACACGCTAATACAAATGTCCTTCCCCCTTATAGACTAGCTCTTGCAAAAATCCCTCTTCTGACAAGCTGTTATAAATGTCCCCCTTACATACATGCTGTTTCAAATGTCCCCCTCACAGCAAAGCTAACACAAATGTCCCCCTCACAGCCTAGCTAACACAAATGTTCCCCTCACAGCCTAGCTAACACAAATGTCCCCCTCACAGCCTAGCTAACACAAATCTGCACCTATGCAGTCAAGCTAACACAAATGTCCCCCTCACAGCCTAGCTAACACAAATCTGCCCCTATGCAGTCAAGCTAACACAAATGTCCCCCTCACAGCCTAGCTAACACAAATCTGACCCTATGCAGTCAAGCTAACACAAATGTCCCCCTCACAGCCTAGCTAACACAAATCTGCTCCTATGCAGTCAAGCTAACACAAATGTCCCCCTCACAGCCTAGCTAACACAAATGTGCCCCTCACAGCCAAGCTAACACAAATGTCCTCTTCACAGCCTAGCTAACACAAATGTCCCCCTCACAGCCTAGCTAACACAAATCTGCCCCTATGAAGTCAAGCTAACACAAATGTTCCCCTCACAGCCTAGCTAACACAAATCTGCCCTTATGCAGTCAAGCTAACACAAATGTGCCCCTCACAGCCTAGCTAACACAAATGTCCCCCTCACAGCCTAGCTAACACAAATGTCCCCCTCACAGCCTAGCTAACACAAATGTCCCCCTCACAGCCTAGCTAACACAAGTTTTTACCTATCGGTAAAACAAACACAAGGTGCACTGCTTGGTAGTGAATGTGTTTAAATTATTTAAATTTAGTCTACTATTTTTAACTCTACCAGACTGCTGTACTGCTTTTTCGGTAATTTCCTAATCCGCTGCTAAACCGCTGTACCTTATTTTTGGTACTGTGCATATTACATTAAAAAAAATGAGCCAAAAACTAAAAATAACCAACCAATTTAGGTCAAACTTCATGGATAGCCATTGCAAATGTCTGCCCCATTTGGATTGACTTTGTGTAGTTTAACGTAAACAAAAATTCACAATGAAACGAGCGGCTGTTGAACCAAGCACTTCAACAGGATAGGGAAGTAGATCTAGGCTTTTCACAGTCCAATAGGTGATCAATACTTCTTTGATTGATTCAGACTCTGAGGAGTCAGAATTTCAACAAGGATACGTTTCCACCTCAAGTGACAAAGACTGGAGAGCTCGAATGATGAGGAGAATCTTCAACCTGATAGATCTAGAGCTAGATTGATGGTAAGAGAAAGGGGGGGGGGGGGGGGGTGTATGACCCTCAAATAGCTGATAGGGGAGATCTGGGTGTCAGTGAAGGTTGGACAATGGACTTTTTATCACCAAATACAGATGAATTTCAATGATGAAAGGTAAACCTATTTTCTATAATTTCATCTCATTCTAACCACTTGTTTGCATATTTTTGTATATCATGATGGTTTTTGAACTCCGCTAAGACCGGTCCCAAGCCCGGCTGTAAAAGGAGGAGGGTCTGGCTGAACCTGAGTGCTTCATGCGTCTCCGGAAGTAGTGGGTAACCGTGAATCAGCCAGACGGCCTGCATGGAGGCCGCAAGGAGGCAGCCCCTCCACCATGCAAAGGCACAACAGGCCAATCACCTGTTTGCCTTAAACCACGATTACAAGTAACTACAGAAAGAAAACCGGACGGATCTTAACGGCGACGAACTGGCATGGCTTACGGACTACGATTTATGGAACATGGAATATAAGAGGCATTAACGGAAAGGAAAACGAGTTAGTAGGGGAGATGAGGAAAGCAAAATTAGGAGTCTTGGCTCTGACTGAAACCAAGAAAAAGGGGCAAGGAATCACAGATCACGATGGAAGTATGCTGCTCTACAGTGGTGTCCCTATGACGGAGAGAGCCAAGGGAGGTGTTGGCTGTATTGTGGCCAGGAATCAAGTTAGTAACATCAAGGGATGGAAATTCATCTCAGAGCGAATAATGGTGTTAGATCTGAAAGAAGAAGATAAAATTGTCAATTTTGTCATTGTGTACGGGCCAAATGAAGATGAGCGAGTAGATGTTAAAGAAGAATTCTTTGAACTGCTCCAAAAGACCATAGATGACTGTCACGATGAAATTATCCTCCTAGGAGATCTAAATGCCAGAGTAGGAAATGATCACTCTAGATGGGGTGGAGTGATCGGGAGATATGGTGAAGATGTTTTGAATGATAATGGCAAGCGACTTCTCAGATTCTGCAGGGAACAGAACCTTGTCATTACAAACACAAAATTCCCCCACAAGCGTATACATGCATACACAAGATGTGAACCTTCAAAGAATGAAAAATCCATCATTGACTACGCCATAGTTAGGAAAAGTTCATTCAAGTTTGTGAGAGATGCCAGGGTCATGAGAGGACCAGAGATTGGAAGTGACCACTATCTGGTCACAATAAAGAGAACAACTGAAAGAACTGCTCCAACAAGGCAACACCGACAACTATGCAAGAAACCAAGCAACCAAGAAGGGATGAGGATTAAAGCATACAAGCTAAGAGAGCCAGATATTAAGGCTAGATACCAGGAGCTTATAGTGAAAGCAATAGGAACTGAAGAAGAATCATCAGAGGACACTGAAACTCTCTGGTGCAGATTCAAGAATATCCTCACAGCAGCTGCAGTAGAAGCATGTGGTGAAGTCCCAAGTGGAAGGCGGGGACACAGGACACCTTGGTGGACAGAAGAAGTCAAATTGAAAATAGGGGAAAAGAAAAGGGCATGGAAGCAATACCTAGCAGCCAGGAACACAGCTGAAGAAATTGAAAAATATAAACAATATGTGGCACTCAGAACAGAGACCAAAAATATTGTGCTTAAAGCAAAACAGAAATCATGGGAAGAGTTTGGAGAAAAGTTGGAAAAGAATGCAAGAGAAAACCAAAAACTGTTCTACAAGACCCTTAAGAACATGAGGAAGGAGAAAGAGTGCCCACTTAAATTCATAAAAGACAAGGAAGGGGCTCTGCTTACTTCTACAAATGATATCATGGGCAGGTGGAAAGAATACTTCTCAGAGCTCCTCGGCGCTGAGGGAAGTCATGACCCAGAAATAATGGACCTCACTGCTGAGAAGGAATTCAATCATGGGGAAGATAACATCAGGATGGAAGAATTGAAGGCAGCTATTGAGAAGATTAAGCTGGGAAAAGCAGCAGGTCATGATGGTATAACACCAGAGATGGTCAAATATATGGGAGTCGAAGGTGAGCGCTTTCTACTGAAGGTTCTCCAGGCAGCCTGGTGTAGCAAAACTATACCAAAAGATTGGGAGATTGCCATCATTATACCTATATTTAAAAAAGGCGATAACAGACAATGTGAAAACCACAGAGGCATATCCCTCCTCAGCATTCCCGGTAAAAGTTACTCTAGAATTCTTGAGCAGAGACTTAGAAGTCTGGTAGAGCCACAGCTGGACGAGGCCCAGTGCGGCTTCAGAGCAAACCGAAGTACTCAAGACCTTATCTTCACACTGAGACAGATGAGTGAAAAAGCCCTGGAATATAAGAGTGAGATTCACTTATGTTTTTTGGATCTGGAAAAGGCATTTGACAAGGTACCCTGGAACAAGCTCTGGGACTGCTTGGCAGGGAAAAACATCCCAGCACCCCTGATCAGTGCAATACAGAGTTTCTATAAAAAGTGCAGAAATTATGTAAGAACAGCAGACCAAAAGTCAGAAGAATTTAAGACCACCAGCGGTGTTAGACAAGGTGATATTCTCTCACCTTACCTCTTCATTCTTATGATGGATGATGTCATCAAGACCTGTAAGGAGAAGACAAAGAAGTACTCTGTAGGGTATTGGAAGATGAGACCAATCTGTATATCAGAGCTGGCTTTTGCAGACGATGTGGCCCTGATAGCTAAATCAGAGGCTTACCTTCAGTCCAACTTACTTGTCTGGAAGGAAGAGCTTGAAAAGAAAGGGATGACCATCAGTGTCTCCAAAACTAAAACCATGGTGATCTCAAGAGGGGAGAAGAAACACCAGATCATGATGGGTCAGTATGCTTTGGAGCAGGTTAACCAGTTCAAATACCTTGGAGTTGTATTAGACCAAAATGGAGGCATTAAGACTGAGCTGGCTACACGAAAAGCAGCTGCTGGGAGACTCTTCCAGGCCATAAACCGAGGGTTTCTTAGCAAAAGAGAAATTGGCAAGAGGACGAAAATGGCTGTTTACCGCTCTACCTATGTACCAGTCCTGACTTATGGGTGTGAGTCATGGGCAATGACAACAGCTCACAGAAGCCAGCTGCAGGCCTCGGAAATGAGATACCTGAGAAAGGTGGTCCAAGTGACAAGAAGGGACAAAGTCCGCAATCAGACAATACGTCAAGATCTTGATACCCAGCCCTTACTAACCCGAGTGGATCAGTCACAGTTACGATGGTTTGGACATGTGTGCAGAATGGGAGAAAATCGGCCACCATGGCAAGCATGGGAGGCTAAGAACCAGGGAACCAGACCTCCGGGACGACCCAGGGTGCGCTGGGAAGACAACATCCGACAGTCCCTGACTGACAGAGGACTGGAATGGAACAAAGCCAGAAAGAAAACTGCTGATAGAGACGTCTGGCGATCTCTCTGGCAAACCTCTACACCTCAAGGTAGAAGAGGAGCGACTAAGTAAAAGTAAGTAAGTATGATGGTTTTTGGTTATAATGCCCAGGAGCCCAAGTACAGGGAACAGTTAGGTTCAGGGCCTCACGTACGGTAAAAAAAAAAAAACGTAAAGGACCCTTTTCTAGGCCTTCAGGCGTATGGGGCTGGAGCTAAATTTTATAGACCATCGGCACAAGATGGGTGATGTGGTCAGCCTTTACTTCCCAGGACTGCACCCGGTACCCACACAAGGCTGGGTCTGCCTGGGAGCCAAGGTCATAAAAAAAAAAGGCCTGCTCCGCCAGGAAGCAAACCCACGGCAACTCCCCAGATCTGGTAGAGTTAAGTTAAAATTTAATTATACCTTAGCATCTCCTAAATGTCTGAAGTCTGGAACAATATAGAAGAAGATTCCATTTCCTGCAGATTCTAACGTCACTCCACGAAAAAACAATATTGCAAGCACCACATAGGGAAATAAGGCTGTGAAATAGACCACCTGGGAGAAACAACACATGAATACTTTACTGTTTTTTAAAGTAAATATTAAAGTATTGAATATTAATAAAAAAAAACACGAGCGAAACTAAAAATATATTTAAATACACGCATACCTTTAATAAGATGCAAAAGATTCTCACTAACAAGAAGATGTCAACTGCAGCGAGAAAAACAGTTTATAATGCTACGTAGAACCCGTGTTGTTTTATGCATGTGAAACATGGTCAGTAATAAGCAAGCAAGCTGTAAAACATTGACTCATGACAGAGATGCGGCTTCTTGGAATGCAAAGTATATCATAGGAGCACGGAAGCAGCCCTCGTCTAGACAGATGAAAGTCATTAACTTAGATCACTTAGATGCTCGCAGTTAATATTTATGGACATGTTGTGAAAACAAATCGACTAGAGAGCTTGGTAGCAACTGGAAAGATGGACAGAAAGAGAGCAAGAGGAAGGCAAAGAGATAAATACCTGTATGGCCTGGTCAAATGGATGGTGCAAGACAAAAACATTTAACGGATCGTGATTCTGGATATCAGGTGAAACAAAACACGTTAGCCTATGCTTACTGGCGCATGATGCTAAAGATGATGATCTGGTACCACAAATAAACATTTTGCAACAACAGGTCCAGAATTAAACAAACACATAAAATGATCTCTAAAGTACCACAAGATGATTATTCCAATCCAGAAATTGTATTCTGCACAATAAATGATAAAGTTTATCACACATCAGTTAAAGTATGCATAATCTTAAAAAGACATGTAACACAACAGAAGTTTTACTTTACAATTCTATCTTTTATGCCAATCATAGAAATTCATTAAAATAGAAAAAGTCACATAATTTGTAAGATTATAACTTTTGTACTGTCATAAGAAGTAACTGTTTATGATCATGTGTCATCGTGAGAGTTAAACAGATATTATTCATGTAGAGTTTCTTCAGGACTGCATATTAATAGCGAGGACACTCTCAATTAAATACACTGCCCACAACAGGTCCTCTGAATACTCTGTAGGTTTCAGCTAATCATCTAATCATTCTTCGCTTTAGGATTTTCTTCTTCTTCTTTGTTCAACGGCTATAAGCCCTCGGTGGAAAGTCCTGGCCTTTGTCTGCTTGGACTTTGGCTTTGTGCCTAGACATGTGTTTTGCGTGTTCATTATTTTATTGGCTTATTTGTGAGCAGTCGGTTGTTCCTTGCCACTCAGGCAGATGCATTTCGACTTCGAAGGAAGCTCCCAATTAACAGACTCTTACAACATGCTTACTGAAGTGGCAGTAGCTCTATTCTTGTTCTCCACACAATGGGTTGCCAGAATCCATATGCAGAGGGATTTTCAATTTTTGTGAAATCGGAAATAGTTTCTCAGGACATTTCATAGTTCAGTCACTAAAGCAGAAATAACGCTTTCCTGAATTCTATAATGAGCGTGAATATGTTATAGAAAAGGACATATTATGACAAGTGGTAAATTGATGCATAGATGAGCTTGATGTGGTCAAGGCCCTTTGGGACTAAGTGAACAGTATGGAAGCACAAGCAAATCCTCATGGACTGAAGAGAATGGTGCACTGTGGAGTGACTAGGGGATCTGGTCAACAATCAACAATCAGGGGAAAAGGTAAGGTGGACATACAATCAGACAGCTTCTAGAACCATCCAAGTGGAACTCTGTGCTGGCTGCGAAGCCCTTACAAAAATATCCTGAGTACTGTGCTGTCAATTCTTATACCAACTCAGCTCAAAATATCAAACTTGGTTTCACTAAATCACCAGCATTTTATGATTTTTACCACAAGAGGAAAACACGAAATCCTCTTATTCATATTCTTACTGAAACTGCTGTTCATCCTCACAAATTTTTGATAATAACACCATATGTTGTTGAGTCAACAGTTGCTGTTATGATCAGTTCCTTTCACCACTGTCTGAAAATAACACCATATGTTGTTGGGTCACCAGTTGCTGTTCTGATCAGTTCCCTTCATTCCCTCTGGTCAAATGCAACAGACCTAATTAATTGCATAAGAGGTCAGCCAAATTCTGTTTCTAGGTCCTTCTTGGCGTTTTCATCTCCTTCTGTCGACAATCCTTCAGTAAAACTACTAAAGGACCCTTCATGCCACTGGTGCATCCACCCTATAGTGTTAGGCCCATATTTTTAAAGACCAATCGGCATTTGATAAGTGATTTGCTTAAAAACATGCCAGCCACCTTTACTTTCCAGGGCATTACACCCACTTTAGGCTGGATTGACTGGGGAGCAAAGGTAAGTATAAAAAAAAAAAAAATCCACATCAATAAAGATTAGAACTTCAGACCTTCCAGCTGGCAGGCAAACCTCTAGATGAGATGCACTGAAAAGGTTCCCAAAACTGTGGTGATCAAGTTCAAATAATATTTCTGAAATGTCAGTACCAACCTTTCCCAAAGTTTTGACCCCTTTTAGAAGACACAAAAATGTAAGAATCCATGCCAGAAGGAGACTAAGCACCAAATGCCACCTGGGAGTTCCAATCTTGAAAATTCCTGGACTCAGTGCCAGCACATTATTTCTGTAAATATTTCAACAAAATACTTTCAGCAAAATATTTCAGACCAGTGCTGTCTGTGATTCAGTGTAACATCTGATTCAGTCAAGAAATTATTTCAATAAATGTTTCAGCAAAATAATGTCAGCAAATTCAGCAAATATTTCAAGTCACTACTACCAGTAATTCAGTGGATAATTTATAATTCAGTCAAGAACTAGGATTCTTAGGTGTACATCCCCCTTTTCTTGTACTTATCTTTTTTTGTTGTTGCTTTTTATATGTTATTCTCTTTTTGTTTTCTCATTCCTTCTGAAAGGACAATGTGTACTTTTACAGATTATAAGTAATTTAACTGTTTGTTCTTGATCTGATTCTGTAATGTTCTCTTCTCTTTTTTTTATAAACCTCTTTTATAATCACTTTTCAAAAGCCTAGTTTTCAGTCATTTTTGTTTTTTTTCTTTGAACATGTTTCTACATCAAACAAAAATTAAAGTTAACACATGATCAAGATGGATTTTATTTTATTTTAGCTTAGTTTGTTTAGAGGTGAAAAGCTTTGTTGCATTGTTGAGTAATACTTTGGCTATTTTTGCTCTCTTTCTCACTTCTGATTTACACTGGTCTTTGTTGTTGATTGTTGCAAGCATGATGTAAAATACTGACATGTTCAAGTGTTTTTTCATCAACTATTATTTTTAAAAGTGATTAGTACAGTTAATCATAACCTTTGTTTTCTTCAGATTTACATCTAAGCCATTTTAATTACCTACTTCTTGTGCTTGGTGTGCACAAGATCCTGCTCTGTTTCAGCCAATAAAACAATCATACACTCATGTGTATATATATACATATATATCCAGTTGGCCGTACACCTATTTGGGCAGTAATATAGATAAAGATGGAGGAGATGATAGAAATATTAAAATAAGAATACAAAAGGCAAGAGGGGCTTTCATAGCACTAGGGAATTTGTGGAGGTCAAAGGAAATTAAAAGAAATACTAAACTAAAATTTTTTAATTCTAATGTCAAATCAGTACTATTGTATGGGGCGGAAACATGGAGAACAACCAAGGCAATTACTAATAAATTACAGACATTAATTAACTGGTGCCTGCGCAGAATAGAGGGAATTAAATGGTATGATAGAATAACTAATGTAGAACTTTGGGAGAGAACTAAACAGGCTCCAGTGGACCAAGAGGTGAGGAAAAGATGTATTGGATACGACAAACACTGAGAAAACAGCAGAACAGCATAACTAGAATGTCTGCATTGGAACCCACAGGGGCATAGGAATAAAGGAAGGCCAAAAAACACATGGAGAAGAGAGCTGGATAATGAAGTTAGAAAGATGGGGAGGACATGGGGAGAGCTCCATGCAATGGCGAAGGATAGAACCACTTGGCGTGAACTGGTTGAGGGCCTATGCTCCATTGGGGGATAGAAAGGCAGAAAAAGAAGAAGATATCCAGTTGTTTATGAACGTTCTAACAAAATATAAAAGACATAACAGCTGAAGAGAGCTACCATGGTGTAGCGGCAAGATCCTCGCCTGCAGATCGGAAGGTCATGTGACAGAGCCAGACTTTTGTCAAAAATGACCTTGGCTCCCAGATCGACCCAGTCTTGAGTGGGTACGAGGTACAGTCCTGTTAAGTAAAGGTGGCCGGTGTGGTGTTGACCATATCACCGAGCCAGTGCTGACTGGTCTATAAAATATAGGTCTAGCTCTATATGCCCAATATGCTTTAAGGCGTGGAAAAAAGGATCCTTGACTTTTACACTTATTGTTACATGACAGCTGTACAGGACCAGTTACAGCAGACAAACAAAATGTGGTGTAGTGATTAGTCTTCAACAGCAGAATATGATGAGATTTTCCATCAATGGTGAACTCTGGTCTTCTTTCTAACTCTTTGATTTCATAGATAAAGTACAAACAGTTTCTAGCCACCATCCACAACCCTGGAGTTACTTCAGATAACTCCCTTCAAAGTCAGAGTGCATCTGCCTGAAAGGTTAAAAACCAGCAGTCTGCATAGAAATAAACCAGATCTGTAAAATGGATGCACACAAAATTAAAGTTCCTGAAAAAGACCAAAGTCCAGAAGTGGATAAACACACCAGAACTTTCTGTTGGAGTTTACAGAAAGTTTGCGTGAAGAAGAAGAAGAAAAAAAAAGACTCCAGAAAATGGTTTAAAACTAAGTACACCTTACTGTAAAAGACTTTAACAGTTGGACTCTCCTCAGAAAGTACCAAAATGAGATAAAGACTTAAAAAAAAAAAAAACAGTTTATAAAGCTGAAAATGATTTAAATGATAACATTCATGTAGAATATAATACAAATATATAAACAAACTCACTGGATTCAGGGAACTGGATGTCATGGACTGTCTTACATGGTGGGGGGGGGGGGGGGGGGAAGGGGGGAATCAGGAAGAGGAATCAAATAAAGACACAATTATTGAATACAGGTTAAAGGCTGAGTGTCTGGAAAAAAGAATGTTACACTTAAGCCTCGGCAATGGTCCTGAAATCGCATGCTCTCATCATCATCATGTAGCATGTCCTTTACAGAATGCCGCTCTCATCACAGTCCTCCTAAAACTTGGTCTCTTGCCAGCTCTCTTGCCTCATGTACCTTCATATTCAAGGAGTCACTTATATCTTGTGCACATCTTCCTTTTGACTTGCATAATAAGTTTCTTGGCATAATAATGTGGTAGTTTCCCCTTGCTGTCCATATTCTTGTGGCTTCAGACTATGTCCTCATCCTTCAACAACCTTTCAGATTGCTAGGGTAAGTAACTGCTCTGTTCTGGATGCTCCTGCTAATAGCCGACAGCACCCCAGAGGTGTTCACTTATTGCTAATGTTGGAAAACTTAACTCTTAACATGAGCTAGTTACACTCACCAACACCATGGCTTGGTCTTTTCATAGCACAGTATAACATCATCATCATCAGATGCCTTGCCGACTGGCATGGGCGATCATGCCTCTCCATAATCTGCGATCTGCTGCAGCATGTATCAGTTCATGTGCGACCACACCTCCATGCCATGCAACAAGACTGTCAAGCATCTTCTTTTGTTGTCTTCCTCTATCTCTCCTTCCACATATCTTTCCAGTGGTCACAACATGTTCTATTTTCCCTCTTCTCATAACATGGCCGAAAAATGATGACTGTCTCCTTCTGATGTCTGTGATAAGTTGTCTTCGGGCTCCCGCCTCTTTCAAAACATCTTGGTTGCTCTTTTTGGCTGTTCAAGGTATTCTAAGCATTCTTCTGTAAAACCACATATAACATAGTATCTACAAATATAAAAAGTTGCCAACAATAGCAACCAGGGCTTTTGTTTTCTGAAAGCATCAACATCTTTTTTTTTTTTTTAGGCACCAGTTTTCAGTGACACATAACAGACACTTTGTGGTGAGTGGCACCTTTTTTAAAGACATTTTTATGGTGAGTACCAGCACCTTTTCTTCAAGGCAAAAGAAAAGTTCTGACGACAACCATAACAACAACTAAACTCACATCCAATATTCCTCCGATGGGGATACCCGTCTTTTACCCGTCACTTTATAAAACATGGTGGTGTTCCACACACCCACAAAATGATTGTCTGAATTATAACAAGTTCCATTACTCATCTGAGTCCCATCCACACAGGCAACAATAGGCCATTTGAGACTGCAGTCTAGGAGAATAATAAAAATAAGATTAAAAATCATCACTGTCATTATAAACGAAAAAATATTTTGCGGCTTGTATTTCCCAGTGTAGGTTCCCGAGCTGGAATGTTTTTAAAACAAGAATAGACCAACTGCCTCCCCTCCCCGCCTCCCCAACGTGCATGTCGTAAGAGTCCACTAATTGGGAGTTTCCTTCAAAGTCGGAGTGCATCTGCCTGAGAAGCAAGGAACCAACAGTCTGCATTCAAATAAGTCAGATCTGTAAAATGGATGTGCAATCAGATCTGTAAAATGGATATGCATGCAACACCCTGGTTATGGAACAAGATTAAATTTCAGAGGTGGACCAACAATCAGAACTTTCTGCTGGAGTTTACAGCCGGTGAACGCTAAGATTCCCCAATATTAAAAGCATGAAAAGTATCTGTACCATGTATTCATTGATTTCAAAAAGGCCTTTGATGGAGTATGGCATTCAGCACTCTGGGTTACTTTGAAAAAGTACAATATAGGTAACTCAGGTTCTGGAACAAGACCAAAGTCCAGAGGTGGATGAACAACCATAACTTCTTTGTTTGCGCTCACTGGCTGTAAACTTTGGCTGAAAGTAATGGTTGTTTGTTTATCCATCTCTCGACCACAATCTTGAATTTCTGGTATCCCTGTGTGGTTTCTAGTGTTTTATTTTTGGAGAACCAAGAATTACCCCTTCTTCCCCAACAAGCATGTCGTAAGAGGCGACTAAATTATGGGTGTTTCCTTGAGTTGACTTTATTTAAGAACAAATATCACAGCACTCATAGCATTCCCATAAGTGCTTCATCCCTATCTTCAGCAGCCAGCACAGAATTCCATTACCAATGGTGCCAGTAGCAGTCTGATTATATGTCCATCTTGCCTTTCATCTCAGCATTGAGTCTCAGCTAGATCCCCTGGTCATCCCCCGCTGCATCACTCTCACCAGATATGATGATCCATTTGCTCCTCCTAATTGTACACATGTTTCCATAAGACTGACCCCATCTGCCTTATCATGCATCAGTTGTGCACAGCCAGCTAGTCTGTCTGCCTGTTCCTTTGCCCATACACCGGCATGATCAGGAGAAAAAGATCTAGACAATACTCCTCTCCTGTGACCTCTGAAGAAGCATGCCAGTCCTCACCTTCCTCAACAGGCTTTCTGAGTCAGTTACAATCATGATGTGCGTGTGTGTACGTGTGCATGTGCGCATGCGTGTATTGTGTTTTCTACAGCTGTAAACTCCAGCAGAAAGTTCAAGTTCTTCATCCACTCCTAGACTTTTGTCTCAATCCAGAACTTGAGTTTTGGAAATGCAATCTTTCAGAAACACTCTTGGTATAACATACAGAGACCACATCACAAATGATGATATTCGCCAGATAATTATCCAGCATAATGGTAACTACAAACCTCTTTTAACTAAAGTGGAAAGGCCACAAATGCAATGGTATACTTCTTTTTCTTTGTTCACCAATTGTAAGCTTCGGCAGAAAGTCCTGGTTGTTCATCCATTTGTACTTTGGCTTTGTTGCCAGGGCCTGAGTTTTGAGTGCATCCGTTTTACTGTGTGCTGGCTGCTCCTTGCGACTCAGGCGGATGTACTCCGACTTTGAAGGAAGTCCCCAATTAGTGGACTCCTACAACATGCTTGTTGGGGAAGCAGTGGGTCTATTCTTGTTTTCCCACAATGGGGCCCTGGAACCCAAAAGGGGGGGGGGGGGGATTTGGTATAGACTTGTAATAACATCTAACAACCTCTCTCACAAAAACAATACTGCAGGGTTCAGTAGAGGGGAAGAGGCAGATGAAGAAATACCTGGATACAGAACTTGACTGACTGGATAGGCTTTAGGCATGCAACCATAAAGTCCATCAAATCTGACCATCAGAGGTGGAGGGATCTAATCAGACAGTCAATAGCAACTGGTGACCTAACAATGTTCAGTGCTACAGGATGATGAACGTTAAGAAGAAGAAGAAGAAAAGTTATAAAACAAAGGAGATAAGGCTACATTAGGCACATCCTGAGACAAAGCAGGCACAGAATTACCAGAGGGCAATGACATGGGAAACAAATATACTAAGAAAAGAAGACATTAAAGAGAAAGCCTACAATAAATATTGATGAGAGAGGCCAAAGACCCATCTAAGATGCAAACAGCCGGGAATAGAGAGTGAGAAGCAACAAATTCATTATCTGTTTAAATCACCATTGATCACTGGCATCATGAAAGCTAATAGACTGAAATGGCTGGGGCATGTTGAGAGAATGTCAGATAACAGAGAAGTGAAAACTGTACACACAAGGGAGCTGAATGGTGGCAGACTACGAGGCAGATAAAGAAGACAGAGAGATAATGTCCAGTCAGACCTGCAAACACTTAGTGTTACCAACTGGAAAGAGAAGGTCAACCAAAGAGATGAATGGAGGTGTGTGATATCTGCAGCAATGAACCTCAAGAGCTCGGAATGCTGAAGAAGAAGAAGAAGAAGAAGAGGCCAAAGGTACTGGACTGGATTCCCTCTATGATATCAGAAAGATTGCACAGGACTGAACAGAATGGAGGAAGAGACTGCAAGCCCTATGTGACATATGACAGCACAACATGATGATGATGATGATAATGATGATAGAGATGATGACAGAGATGATGACAGACCTTCTGTGTTCCAGCCTGGGTTGTCACAGGAGTCCCAGGGCAGGCTGCTGGTGAATGAAGCAAACAGATAGAACTGTGCCCAGGCAATGATCATGTTGTAGTAGATGCTGATCAAAACTGAAGCTACAATCATGGCCACGCCCACTCCTGGCATACACAAAACGGGAGAGTAAGCAAACATGACAGTATTTTTATTAATAGTGAAATTAGTGAACATCTTGTTTGTGATTGTGGTGTTGTATACTCATTAACCGTGCCGATGAAGAGTCTCAAGCTGCAGCGCTCACTTGTCATTTGTGCGTATCTTCTTCATATTCAACGGCCGTGAACTAGAGCGGAAATTTCTGGTTGTTTGTCCACCTCTGGACTCTAGTCTTGTTCCAGAACCTGGGTGTTGTGTACACATCCACTTGACAGATCTGACTTATTTTTTTGCAAACTACTTCGTTCACTGTCTCTCGAGTAGATGCACTTCAACTTTGAAGGAAGCTGCAAGTCAGTCGACTCTTAGGACATGCATGTTGGGGTGGCAGTGGGTCTGTTCTTGATTTCCCCTCAAAGAGGCCTGAAACCCAAATGGAGACTATTTTTATAAGATAATGGGGAATGTACTGCTCTATTTTTAATGTGGTTGATCTTTTCTCATGAAAATTTTACAGCTTCACAGCAGTTCACTCACTTCAGCTCTTATATGACCTGCCCTCCCAGAACTACTACAATCTGACTGCATCCATTGAAATTGTCTGTACTGTATTATTTTCACACTACCATTGGATTTCATGTATAGTTGTTTGTGTTTGTTGTACTGTATATTCACATAATGTGTCGATGTAGGCTTTTTAGCCGCAACATTCACTTTCCATTTCATAAACAAGTATTGAAATGAGAACATACAAGAAGACCCTAAGGTCACGGCCAGGTTAACACCCTCTGATGCCCCTCCCCCATCCCAGAGTCATCTTAACAGCATTATTTGCCATGGGCAAACCAGTGTGCTGGGATCCCACTCACAGGAATGAAATGTGAATGGTCACTTGACACAGAGATTCGCAAGGGGCCCTATGCCCATGGGGGCCTGTGCGGGCCCCCATAGCTAGTGCCCAGCAGGCCCATGTGTTAGGACGGCAGTGATGCCCCTATAAATGTGCAATTTAAAATATAAACAATAATAAGCCATAAAATAAAATTCTATTTATAGAAATTAAACAAGATTAACAGTAAGATGGAAAATTATGTATATTTTTATAAGCTTTCACTTTATTGACATTTGAAATATTTTATTCAATTAAAAATTTTTTTAAAAATTGCAGTCTTTAATTAGAGCCTCAAAAAAATATTGTTGTAGATGGTATCAATAGCTTCTACTGTTATTTAAATAACTGTTATGTAAATAATCCATAATCTTATCATTAACCTCAACTTCTGTAATGTCAAATATTTCTTAATCTCTCTCAATAATTTCCATACCTTTGAATATGGGAGCAAAGTCCCAACATTTTGCAGGACCCCGGCTACAGAACTGACCAAGACTAACTTCCAGATAGAAGATGGGAATTCCCACCACAGCCAACATTAGGAAATAGGGAAGCAAGAATGCACCACCTCCATTCCTGAAAGTAGAATATCAAAAGATACAATGTTAAAGTAAAAAAAAAAAACAACAACTGAAGTGAAATGTCATAAAGGAATATTTTTAACTGGATTTTAGGCTCAGATTCTCTAATCCCTGGCTGGTGAACTGAATGCCTAGTCTTTGCTGATAATCATAATGAATGGTACATGCAAATTCTGAAATCGGAGCCATTCACTTCTAAAATTCTGTAACTGTCTTCTAAAGCAGGGTTCTTCAAGCCAGGGGTCGCGGCCCACTGGTGGGCTGCAGAAAATTGCAGATGGCTAGCACAACAATTCAGCTTAACTGTGTAAGGAGATAGGGTAGGTGGTGTTTCTCCTCCAGTCAGTAGAATTATTCCTTGTGTGGGTTCCGGGGACACTTTGTGGGGAAAATAAGAACAGACTTGCCGCCTATCCGAAAGCATGTCGTAAGAGTTGACAAAGTGGGAGCTTCCTCTCAAGTCAGGATGCATCTGCCTGAGAGGCGAGGAAGGAACAATCTGCATACATATGAGTCAGATCTGTAAAACTTGGGTTCTGGAACAGGTCTATCGTCCAGAAGTGGACGAATAACCAGAACTTTCTGCCAGAGTGTACAGCCGGTGAAAACGAAGAAGAAGAAGAGTGGGATTAACACCTCAGTGACTTCCTGTTTGTGTGAAAAGACTTTCTCAAGTCTGTGAATAACGAAAAACCAAGTAGAGAAATCAATGGATGTTATTGTAGCACTTTGTCTAACAGAAACAACACTCCAGCCATATACACCATGTTGTATAACATATAAGCAGCATTTTCTGAAAATTTTAATTTTGTGACATCGGATTTAACAAATACACAACTATCTTCATTTTTGTTTGTTTCATGTATAGCTAGCTGTCAGGTGGGCCATCCATGACACAACTTTCTTCATTTTTGTTTGTTTTGTGTATAGCTAGCTGTCAGGTGGGCCATACATGACACAACTTTCTTCATTTTTGTTTGTTTCATGTATAGCTAGCTGTCAGGTGGGCCATCCATGACACAACTGACCATGCCGGGGTGTGCTGCAGGTGTAACAAGGCTGAGGAACACTGTTTTTAAAGTACAGCTTTCCAAACTTTTCATTTTAGTGACACACTTTTCACATAAAAATAATTTTCTTCTTCTTTTCTTTACTCCTAGAATGACTCACAGCGTCAGGACAGGAAGAGATATCTGAAACTGGCCTTTCTGTGTGCTTTGTATAAAGTACTTTTTAGTGTTTCTGACATTTCTGCGGTCTATATTCTGTGTGGTTGACTTCTGGATCTGTTATTGCAAGCTGTTTGTTCTAATAATATCAGATTGTCACACAATCATAAGAAGTTAGGTTCTCTCAGCTGACCTGCAAGTTAATGACTTTCTCATTATGTCTGTCAACTCTCAGTGGAACATAGGCTTATATCAACTTTCTCACAACTGATATGATATGTTAGTCAAAGTGTTCTATGGGATGAGGTAGCTAGTCCCATGCCAACCCTCCATAGCTGCCTCTTATGACATGAATGACTAAATACAGTGTTATGTTTTTCCCCCAGCGGGTCTCAGTGGTGAAGTTGTTAACCCGGAGCAATGAAGTTGATCCTCTGGACTTTAAACTTTGACTTTAAAACTTTCTTCCCTCGTGGGTTCAGGAACACATATGTGAGATTAGTAAATGCTTTGCACAAATAAATTGGGAGCAAAGCAAAAAAAAAAAAACATAAAAAACCCAATAGAGAATGAGCTTAATACAAACAGCCAGAAAGATGGAACAAGATACAAACAAAATCACAAAATCGGACGGATGCCAGTCTTACAGGTCATTAAAAAAACAACAAATGAAGTGGTACTATCTACCACAGCGAGCCACACTGTAACATTGCAATGGTATTAAAGTGAACAGAAGACCTTAGATAATATTGAGTGATGGCATTAAGAACAGCCTTACAGAAATGAATATCAATCTTAACAGTGCTCTTGACAAAGCTCATCAACGAACGTTACATCTCGCCCTGACACTTCACTGAGGTACAAGGTGAAAGAAAAGAAGAAGAAGAAGAAGCAGAAGCCAGAAAGACAGAAAGAATCAGACAAATAACATACATGAAGGAAGGAAAAGGGAGAGAGGCAGGCAGGCAGACTGACAGATAGCCAGAGACAGAAGGATAAAGACAAGAAAGATAGAGACAGAGAGAAATGAGACAGAGAGAGACATAAAGAAAGACAGAGAGACAGAGACAGAGAGAGATATAGAGACAGAGAGAGACAGAAAGAGAGATAGAGAAGAAAGACAGAGAGAGATAGAGACAGAGAGAAACAGAGACAGAGAGAGAGACAGCGAGAGAAAGAGACAAGGAGACAGAGACAGAGAGACATAGACGAGGAAAGAGAGAGACAGAGAGAGATAGAGAAGAGAGAGATAGAGAGAGATAGAGACAAAGAGACAGAGAGAGATAGAGTGTCGGAGAGAGACAGAGACAAAGAGAGACAGAGAGAGAGAGACAGAGAGAGATAGAGAGAGAGAAACAGAGAGAGAAACAGAGAGAGATAGAGAGAGAGAGAAACAGAGCAAGACAGAGACAGACAGAGAGACAGAGACAGACAGAGACAGAGAGAGAGACTGAGACAGAGAGAGACAGAGACAGAGAAGAGAGAGAGACAGAGAGAGAGAGCAAGACAGAGAGAGACAGAGACAGACAGAGACAGTGAGAGAAAGAGACAGAGACTGAGAGAGACAGAGAGAGACAGAGACTGATAGAGACAGAGACAGGGACCGAGACAGAGAGAGACAGAGACAGAGACAGAGAGAGACAGAGAGAGAAGAGAGAGAGACAGACAGAGAAACAGAGAGAGACAGAGAGAGACAGAGAGAGACAGAAAGAGAGAGACAGACAGAGAGAGACAGAGACAGTGAGAGAAAGAGACAGAGAGAGACAGAAACAGAGAGAAAGAGAGACTGAGACAGAGAGAGACAGAGACAGAGAGAGAGACAGAGTGAGACAGAGACAGAGAGACAGCAACCGAGAAGAGAGAGACAGAGACAGAGAGAGAGCAAGACAGAGCAACAGACAGAGACAGAGAGGGACAAAGACAGAGAGAGACAGAGAGAGAGAGAGAGACAGAGACAGTGAGAGAAGAGACTGAGAGAGACAGAGACTGAGAGAGACAGAGAGACAGAGACAGAAAGTGACCGAGACAGAGAAAGAGACGGAGAGAGACAGAGAGAGAGACAGACAGAAAAAGAGAAGAGAAGAGCGAGGCAGAGAGAGACAGAGAGAGAGACAGAGAGACTAAGAGAGACAGAGACAGAGAGAGACAGAGAGACATAGACAGAGAGAGACCGAGACAGAGATAGAAAGAGACAGAGACGGAGAGAGACAGAGACAGAGACAGACAGACAGAGAGAGAAGAGAGAGACACAGAGAGACAGAGAGAGACATAGAGAGACACAGAGAGACAGAAAGACAGATATAGAGACAGAGAGAGACAGAGAGAGGCAGAGAAAGGCAGAGAGAGACAAAGATAGACAGAGACAGACAGAGACAGATAGAGAGGCAGAGAGAGACAGAGAGGGACAAAGACAGAGACAGAGAGAGAGAAGAGACAGTGAGAGACAGAGACAGAGACTGAGAGAGACAGAGAGAGACAGAGACTGATAGAGACAGAGACAGGGACCGAGACAGAGAGAGACAGAAAGAGACAGAGACAGAAAGAGACAGAGGCAGAGAGAGACAGACAGAGAGAGAAGAGAGAGAGAGACAGACAGAGAAACAGAGAGAGACATAGAGAGACAGAGAGAGACAGAAGACAGAGACAGAAAGACAGAAACAGACAGAGAGAGAGACAAAGACAAAAGAGAGAAAAAGAAAAGAGACAGACAGAAAGAGAAAAAGAAAGAGAGACAGACTGAGACAGAGAGAGACAGAGACAGAGAGAGAACAGAAAAAAGAAGAAAAAAGAACAGAGAGACAGCAAAAAAGAAGAGAAAGAAGAGACAGAGAGAGAGAGCAAGACAGAGCAACAGAGAAGAGACAGAGAGGGAAAAAAACAGAGAGAGAAAGAGAGAGAGACAGTGAGAGACAGAAGAAACTGAAAGAGAAGAGACTGAGAGAGAAAGAAGAAAGAGAGAGAAGAGACAGAAGAGACAGAGAAGAGAGAGAAAGACAAAGAGAGAGAAAGAGAGACAGAGAACAGAGAAAAGACCGAGACAGAAAGAGACAAAGACAGAGAGAAAAGAAGAGACAGAAAGAAGAGACAAAAAAGAGAAGAGAGAGAAAGAAAGAGAGAGACACTGAGAGAGAAAAAAAAAGACATAGAGAGACAGAAAGAAATAGAGACAGAGAGAGAGAAAAGAGAGAGAGACAGAGAGAGGAAGAGAGAAAAAAGAGAGAGACAAAGATAAACAGAGAAAGACAGAGAAAGACAGAGAGGAAGAAAAGAGAGAGAAAGAGATAGAGAAGAGAGAGAGACAAAGAGAGAGACACAGAAAGAAAGAGACAGAAAAAGAGAGCGAAGAGAGAAAGACAGAGAGAAAAAGAAAAAGAGACAGAGAGAGAAAGAGCGAAAAAGAAGAGATATAAGAGAGAAGACAGAGAGAAAGGCAGAGATAAGATAGAAGAGAGAAAGAGATAGAAAGAGACAGAAGAGAGGAAGACAGAGATAGAGATAGAGAGAGAAAAAGAGAGAGAGAGAAGAGAGAGAAAGAAAAAAAAGAAGAAGAAGAAAAAAAAGAGAGAGAAAAGAGAACAGAAGAGAAAGAAGAAAGAAAAAAAAAAGAAGAAAAGAAGAGCGAAAAAAAAGAGAGAAAGAGAGAGAGAAGAGAAGACTAAGAAGAAAGAGGAAAAAGAGAGAGAAAGAGAGACAAGAAAGAGAGAGAAAAAGAAGAAAGAAATAGAAAGAAGAAAGAGAAGAAAGAAGAAGAGAAGAGAAAGAAACAGAAAGAAGAAAAGAAGAAAAGAGAAGAAAACAGAGAAACAGAGAGAAAGAAGAAGAAGAAAGAAAGAAAAGAAAGAAGAAAGACAGATAGAAGAGAAAAAAAAAAAGAGAAAGAGCGAAAAAGAAAAAGAAAGAAGAGAGAAAAAAGAAGAAGAAGAACAGACAGAGAAAGAGAAGAGAGGAAAGAAGAGAGAAAAAAGAGGGAAGAGAAAGAAAGAGAAAAAAAAAAGAGAGAAAAAGACAGTGAGAAGAAGAAGAAAGAGAAAGAGAGAAGACAGAGAGAGAGAAAAGACTGATAAAGAAAAAGAAAGGGACCGAGACAGAAAAAGACAGAAAGAGACAGAGACAAAAAGAGACAGAGGAAAGAAAAAAGAAGACAGAAAGAAAGAAGAAGAGAGAAAGAAAGACAGAGAAACAGAGAGAAAGAAAATAGAGAGAAAAAGAGAGAAAGAAGACAGAGAAAAAGAAAGAAAAAGAAAGAAAGAGAGAGAGAAAAAGACAGTGAGAGAAAATACAGAGAAAAGACAGAGAAAAAAGAAAGAGAGAGAAACTGAGAAAGAGAGAGACAAAAGACAGAGAGAAGACAGAGCGAGAAAGAGACAGAGAGACAGCAACCGAAAAGAGAGAGACAGAAAAAGAAGAAAAAGAGAAAAAAAAGAAAGAGCAACAGACAGAGACAGAGAGGGACAAAGACAGAGAGAGACAGAGAGAGAGACAGTGAGAGACAGAGACTGAAAGAGACAGAGACTGAGAGAGACAGAGACAGAGAGAGAGACAGAGAGACAGAGACAGAGAGAGACAGACAAAGAGAGAGATAGAGAGACAGAGACAGAGAGAGACCGAGACAGAGACAGAAAGAGACAGAGACAGAGAGAGACAGAGACAGAGAGAGACAGCCATAGAGAGAGAGAAAGAGAGAGACACTGAGAGACAGAGAGAGACATAGAGAGACAGAAAGACATAGAGACAGAGAGAGAGACAGAGAGAGAGACAGAGAGAGGCAGAGAGAGGCAGAGAGAGACAAAGATAGAGACAGACAGAGACAGACAGAGAGGCAGAGAGAGACAGAGATAGAGACAGAGAGAGACACAGAGAGACAGAGACAGACAAAGAGAGGCAGAGACAGACAGAGAGAAACAGAGATAGAGACAGAGAGAGACAGAGCGAGAGACAGAGATATACAGAGACAGACAGAGAGAGGCAGAGATAGAGATAGAGAGAGACAGAGATAGACAGAGACAGAGAGAGGCAGACAGAGATAGAGATAGAGAGAGACAGAGAGAGACAGACAGACAGAGAGAGGCAGAGAGAGACAGAGACAGACAGAGAGACAGACAGAGAGAGGCAGAGAGAGACTGAGATAGAGACAGAGACAGACAGAGAGAGGCAGAGAGATACAGAGAGATACAGAGAGATACAGAGAGAGAGACAGACAGAGAGAGGCAGAGAAAGACAAAGACAGACAGAGAGAGGCAGAGACAGACAGAGATAGAGACAGAGAGAGACAGACAGAGAGAGATGAGACAGAGACAGACAGATAGAGATGGTGACAGAGAGAGACAGAGAGAGATAGAGACAGATAGAGACAGAGAGAGACAGAGAGAGATAGAGACAGAGAGAGACAGAGAGAGATGAGACAGAGAGAGACAGAGAGAGATAGAGACAGATAGAGACAGAGAGAGATAGAGACAGAGAGAGACACACAGAGAGAGATGTACCTGTAACAAAGATATGGGAATCTCCAGATATTGACAGGTCCAACAGCATATCCAAGCATGGAGAGCACAAAGTCCAGCTTGCCACTCCAGTTGCCTCGTTCCTTGTTCTCATCTCCACTGTAGGATAACCTCTGAGTCAACGTGTACAAAGAGGACCCCTCTGACTGCTACACCATCAGTGGAACCAGGAGCAGGTAGGACACAAATGTCAATTATGAACACAATGAATCAACAGTAAACATATTATATTAAGCTTTTTCTTTGTTTTTGTTTGTTTATTACAAAAGCTAAAAACCAGACATAAAGTATTTTTCACAATAGAAGAACCCTTTTATTTTTTTTAACAAGAATAGATATTTACATAAACCTGAAGCTATCTGTGAATAACATGTAAAAAAATAAGCATGCTAAACAGGCATTAAAAAAAAAAACAAACAACAAAAAAGGACATGGCTGTAAACCTGCGTCTGCCTTGAAAAAAATCTAGAGAATTGAAAATGAAAATTATGAACACAATGAATCAACAGTAAACATATTATATTTAGCCTTTTTCTTTGTTTTTATTTGTTCGTTACAAAAACTAAAAACCAGACATAAAATATTTTTCAGAATAGATTTCGTGTGTCATTTACAAGAATTCATTTAATTGCTTTATTTTAATTAATTGTTACCATAGTTACAATAATAAGTACAGTACTGCTAAATGATTTCATAGAACATCAAAGAACCAGATGGTCTGGTCGTCTGGTCACAATGGAACAAAATCAGTAAGCAGCTGGAGCATACTACATGAGAACAGAAGGCTAATCAGCAAGAGGTCGACCAAGAAAGTCATGGGTAGAGGGAGTAAAAGAGACACAACAGAAACACAATATGAAATTAAGCTCAGTTAGCAAAAGACAGAAAACAACAACATCACACTCCTCTCTGTAACGCTTTATGACATAAGCAGTAGGAAACAATCAGTGAGAAGATGTTTCTGAGGTAGGCACCTGAGGAAATACAGTGAAATATGCCAGGCAACAAACCACACAATCTATTGTTTATGTTTTCTTTGTTCAGATAAACAACACATTTTTAAAATCTTGATTTTGCTAATCTAGTTGACAAAAGCGGAGTGCCATGATGCTGCGGATCCATCTACAGATTCAGAAAGTCATGGGTTCCAATTTGAACCGGTTCTGCACCACCTGGTGGTGAACTGATATATGACAAGCTGAATATTGTGAGGGCCCTTTGGGAGTGAATGAATAGTGCCGAGGAACAGATAGATCATTACGGTCTGAGGATAATGGCACTACGAGGAGTTACAAGGGGATCTGGCAGACATTCGACACTCAGACTGCTACTGGTACCATCAGAATTTTAACTCTTCACTTGCAGCCGAAGATGGGGACAGAGCGCTTATGGGAGTGTCCCAAGTGCTGTGATGTCGATTCTTAATTCAACATGTGAACCGAAAGAGACTTTAAAAAAAAAATGATATTGGCTTTCAGGTTAACCCAGCCTTAAATAGGTACCAGGTAAAGTGCTGGGAAGTAAAGGCGATCAGTGTGATGCTGACCACATCACCCAAGTGCCGATTGGTCTATAAAATATAGGCCTTATGCCAAAATTGCCTGCTGGCGTGGAAAAGGGTCCTTGTAAGTGGAAAAAAAAAAAAAAACAAATAGCCCGGAAGAAAATTTGATAAACTAACAAATTATAACAAGCAAAAATAACGAGAATGCAATCTTTACCGTAGTGTCCAGAGACCGTGAAATGCTTTGTGGGGTTTTTCCGTCCAGCCAGTCTGAAACAAGCTCATTCTCACTGATAGTATATGCCAGGGAAGAATTACTGAAAGCCACAGAACCTTCACTGGCACTGTACTCATCCATGTCCAACATCCACCACCACACCACATTTATGCGGAGCTATCCTCTGTGCATTATCCTTTACGACGCTTCATGGCGAACGTGCTTGTACCTCAAAGAATGTCATCTAAATGTGGTTCTGAAAAATTTGTAAGAAGAAACAATAATAGTAATATAAAAAAAAATGTTCCTAATGTCTATATGTACCACCTTTTTTTTATGGCCGTGTAGACAGGGGGTTGTGAGCCGGAGGATTTAGGGTTGCATGGCTAGTGCTGTCACCATGGACTGTACAGTTAGGATGTTTAATTCTGCCCCAGACAGAAAAACTACATGACCTTACCAGGGGTCAAACCGGGTCTTCCGCTTGAGATATCAACGTTGTAACCCCTCGGTCAGCTGCTCCTCGATAGTTATAAAAAATAATAATAACAGTAATAATAATAATCCACACACTAAGGTTAAAGCTAAAGAAAGTAAAAAGGGCTCCAATTAATACCAAGTTAGATTTGGCAATGCTTGAATGAAATTATCCCTAGTGTGGGTTCTGGGGGGGGGGGTGTGCAGGATTAGACCCACTGCCTCCTCAACAAGCATGTCATAGAAGCTGACTAACTTAGGAGAGGGAGGGGCATCCTTTGAAGTCGGAGTACATCTGCCTGAGAGGCAAGGAACCAAGAGTCTGCATACAAATTTGCTAGATGTGTAAAATGGTTGTGCATGCCACACTTAGGTTCTGGAACAAGACTAAAGTCTGGAGGTGGACGAACACCCAGAGCTTTCCACCGGTGTCTACACGCCACACTTAGGTTCTGGAACAAGACTAAAGTCTAGAGGTGGACGAACACCCAGAGCTTTCCACCGGTGTCTACACGCCACACTTAGGTTCTGGAACAATACTAAAGTCTAGAGGTTGACGAACACCCAGAGCTTTCCACCGGTGTTTACAGCTGATGAATGTGAAGAAGAAGAACAATCAAACTGAGAAATGAGTGAGAGATACACCATCACCGTATGAAATAGATACGGTATTAAAAATACCGGCAGTATAGCTGAACAATGGCACATGCTAAAGCAGTTAATGCAATAGACAACAAATAATACCAGAAGAAAAGAAAACAGCAAAGAAGAAATTGATGAGACAGGAAATTTTACATCTGATGGAAATTAGAAGAGAAATTAAACAAACAAGATGAGTGTGACAGAATTCATAGAGGAATAGTACATACATATAAAGAAGTTTGGTTACATCATCAATGCAAAGAAATTGAAGAACAAAGCAAATAACATAAAAGACATGTATACAAGTAACTAAAAGACGGACAGAGTATATAAAAGAGCTATATGAAGGAGAACAGCAGACCAAATATAGAGACATTCGCACTGTGAAGACCGCAAATATGAAAGCAGAAGCAAAAGATGTTACACACATGAAGAAATGTAAATATCCTAGACAACAAGATTAAAGAATTAAAGGCTGCGAGAGAACTGGATTTAGAAGTGTTGACAAAATTGTTGAATTATATTTATAACAGTGGACACATACCTGATGATCTTTAGAAATCTCTCTTCATACATTTACCGAAATTAAAGTGCAGTGTGTTATTGACTACATCGGACAATTAGTTAAATGAGTCCTTTAACGAAAATATTAATCATAATTTTAATGAGAAGAATAGAAGAATGTAAGAATTAAACCAGAAAGAGGAGAGAAACAGTATAGTTTTATTGTAGGTAAGGGTGCAAAGAACGCCACATTTATCTTGAGGGCACTTGTAGAAAGAATAGTTTCACAAAAACAGACTTGGAGTGGGAAGGAAATTCCCCATACCATTGTATCAATTATTATGTCTATGAAGAGAAGGTGATCAGGGCGTGACCCTGCAACTCTGTCTTGTATGCATGTAATCGCTATAGGCCAGCCTTCGCACCTTTTACAAAGCGAGAATAACTGAACTCCAGCAGTAAATTCAAAGCCGTAAAAGTAACAGTAGCGAATAGCACTCACAATAACATTTAGGAATTTAGCCTTTAGACAAATCAGAATAGAAACGAGGGATATAATTTGTATCGAAGACACTGCAGGGGTGTCGACAACAGAAAATCATGGGGGGAGGGGTGTCAAGGGGTCTAAGCTTTCTCTAAGTACT